TGTCGCTCCAGAGGATGCTCTCCTGGAAGCAGAGCTGCGGGTTCCTCTCGATGCGCACGCCTCCCTTCAGGATCTCTGTGTAGCAATAGGGGGGGTCAGCATGGGGACAGCCATACCCAACCCTATGGGGAGCACCCACCCCTGGGGAAGGACCCCTAACCCGTGAGGTGCCGCATGCCGAGCTGGCGCAGCCCCTGCGTGCCGTCGGGGCTGGTGTTACCCAGCACGGTCAAGGCGAAGCGGTCCTGGAAGAGCTGCGTGCCCCGGATGATGCGCAGGTTCTGCAGCTCCAAGCCCATCACTTGGTTCTCGGCGATGAGCACGTAGCCCTGCACCTCCTTGATGTCCTAAGGATGCGGGGACAGGGGTGAGGAGCCGGATGGACCCCGCTGCGTGCAATGGGGTGCTCTCCCCACCCTACACACCTTAAGGAAGGCGGTGTCGGCGTCCGGGGGCAGGTAGGTGAGCTCCAGGTTGCCCTGCACCACTTGGCAGCCCTGGTACAGGTGCCGCAGGGTCTCGTAGTGGCTCTCGGGGCTGGAGGGGCGCAGCAGCTTCATGTCGGTCCCCGTGCACACTGCGGGCATGGAGCAGGGGCTCAGCGGGGTCCCCGAGCCCCGTCCCATCCTCATCCCTGCGGCCTCCACAGGAAATGCCACGGCTCCACCGGCAGCCGTTTATCTCCGGGGCTGCTCCCAACAGCTTCCGATGGGCTTCCTGGATCGCTGCTCCCACCCCGGGCACGAGGCGAGGCTGCTCCCGCTTTGGCAACCGGCCCCATGCCAGGGACAACCGGGAGCCAACATCACCGCGGTGCCCACGCTGGGTTATGGGGAAGGGACCCATAACCCCCGGCCATGCGGAGCGGGGGCCGGGGGGCAGGAATTGCTCTGCCCACGCTGGTTGGAAGGGGGGATTGGGGGGAGGCTGATGGAAGAGACAAGCCTTGATTGTTGTTGAGCTTCGATGGCTGCCGGAGCGCGACCATCCCCGTGGCGTCGGGGCGCGCGCCCCGGGCCCGGTGAGTCACGGTGGCACCGGGCCCCGGCAGGAACCGCCTTTTCAGGTCGGGCGTGTTTGGGGAGCAGCGGTGACGCAGGGCACGGCTCAGCCCCGGGCACACCCGCGGCCCCCGGCACCGTGCGGGGCCCACACAACGGCTCCGGTGCCGGCAACCGGGCCCGGTGTCCTCGATGCTGGCGAGAGTCCGGTGCTCCCTCGGGGGCTGGCGGCTGCGCCACGGCTGAGTGACAGCCCCCGGTGCGGGCAGCTGCGCATGGAGCCGCCTCCAAGGCCGCCGAGCCAAGGAAAACACCCCCTTGGCATGGCCAGGAAGGGGGAGCCCCCCCCGGGGAATGGGGTTCGGTTCTCCCCCTATGGCACTGGGGGGCTCCGAGCCGTCAGAGCCAGCAGCCAAAGCCCCAGGTCTGCGCTGCACCGGCCCCACAGCGCGGGTTGGGGATGCCACCGGGTTCCCACAGGCGGGATGGTGGCAGGGCCAGATCCTGGTGGGATCCCGGCTCCATCCCATGGCCTTCGGGCCTGGCTGCTCCTCCATTGAGGATCATTGACCCCGGCAGCTCAGTGATCCACCCTGCCCGGACCCCGATCTCCATGGATGACCCCGACTCCCCAAGGGCAACCCCCAGAGCATCCAACGGAGCCCACCGGCCCCATGCCCATGGGGCCACCCCCGTTGCTCCCGGTGCTGGTCCCGCCGCTCATTCCCAACGCACGGATCCAGGCACAGGGATGGGGTTGGGACTGCGGGGGCACCCTGGTGTGTCCCCAACCGGGAGCTGGGACCCTCAAAGCGGGGCCACTTGTGGGGTGCCGTGAACAGAGAGCACCCAGCGACCCCCAAACCCCCCCAAAGTGCGGGACCCCCCAACACAGGGGCTGCGGCGTCCAACCCCGACGGTCCCTTTGGGGGTTAATTCCCGTTCTCCCCGTTCCTACCCCGTTTCCAACGCTCCCCCCCCCCTCCCGGCCGTTTTGCCGGGCAGGGCAGGGTGCGGCACGTCGAGAATGTGGATGGGAGCGACGGGGACGCACCCACCGCCACCCACCGTGGGGCACCGCGCCCCCCTTCCAACCCCCGGTGGGGGGGGGGCTATGGGAAGGTTTAGGGGTGCTATGGGGGGAACAGGCACCGGGACCCCCAAACTCACCCCGGGGGAGCGGAACCGGGCGGGGGGGCAGAGCCTCCCAGCGCCGTCCGGTTCAGTGCGGGACGAAGCGAGGAAGGGGCGGTCCGGTCACTTTGAACGGAGAAACCGTCGGGAGCAGCGCACCCGGTGCCCCCCCCCCGCACCCCTCCCAATCCCGTCGATCCCCCCCTATGCAAAACTTCACTCAAAGCCCTCCCGCTGTCCTCCCGTTCCCCCCCCTCCCGTTCCCCGTTCCCGGTCGGTCCGGACCCACCTTCAGTGGCGGCGGGGGGGATGCAGAGCGCGGTGAGGAGCAGCAGCGGCAGCGCGGCGCGGAGGCAGCCCCCGGCGGGGATCATGGTGCTCAGTGCGGGCCGCGGCCCATGGCCCCCGCCGGCCGCTCCGGGAAAGTTTGCGGTGCGGAGCCGCCGCCTCCTCCCGCCGCTCCCGGCTCCGCCTCACGGGGCCGCGCCGCGCTCCCGGCCCCCCGGGCGAGGGCGCGTCCCGGTCCCGTCACCCCCCCCCCCCCTCCCGGCTCCTCCGTGCGCGCTCCCGATGCACCGGACCCTTCCACTTCCACCACCACCAAATGCTCGTCCCCGTGACCCCCGGGTGCGGAGGCTTTTGGGGGGGGGGGCATGGACACACGAGCTCTGTCCCTGTCCCCTCAATCGGCCCCGTTTGGGGGTGACGGGCACCGGGGCTGGGGCGGTGATGCTGCTCCTGGGTGTGGGGATCGGGGGGCAGCGCTGGGGTACAGGGACAGTCCTGGGGTACAGGGACAGTCCTGAGGTACAGGGACATGGGAACACTCCTGGGGTACAGGGACAGTCCTGGGGTACAGGGACATAGGAACAGTCCTGGGGTACAGGGACAGTCCTGGGGTACAGGAACATGGGAACACTCCTGGGGTACAGGGACAGTCCTGGGCATGGGGACACTGCTAAGTGACAGGGACATGGGGACACTCTTGGGATACAGGGACACCCCTGGGGTACAGGGACAGTCCTGGGGTACAGGGACAGTCCTGCGGTACAGGGACACCCCTGGGGTACAGGGACATGGGAACACTCTTGGGGTACAGGGACAGTCCTGGGTTACAGGGAGTCGTGAGCATGGGGGCGCTCCTAAGGGACAGGGACATGGGGACACACTTGGGGTACAGGGACACCCGTGGGGTACAGGGGCATGGGAACACTCCTGGGGTACAGGGACAGTCCTGGGGTACAGGGAGTCATGGGCATGGGGACACTCCTAAGGGACAGGGACATAGGGACACTCCTGGGGTACAAGGACAGTCGTGGGGTACAGGGACACTCCGAAGGGACAGGGACATGGGGACACTCCTGGGGTACAGGGATTCCTGGGCATGGGGACGCTCTTGGGATACAGGGATACTCGTGGGATACAGGGACACGGGGACACTCCCAGGGTACAGGGGCATGGGGACGCTCCTGGGGTACAGGGACAATCCTGGGGTACAGGGAGTCCTGGGCATGGGGACACTTCTGGGATAGAGGGATACTTGTGGGATACAGGGCCATGGGAACACTCCTGGGATACAGGGACACCCCTGGTGTACAAGGATATTGGGACACTCCTGGGGTACAGGCACAATCCTCATGGACCGGGACAGTTCTAGGGGACAGAGCCGTGGGGCCACTGCAGCATCACCCCATGAGTCCCCAGTGAGGTGACCGGAGCCGGCGCTTGCTCCCCACCATGGGCACAAGCCCTTGGTGCACCCTCAACCGCTGCTCCCGTTGAGGACGTGGGGTCCCGCGGGAGCATCGCAGCCCACGATGGGGACCCCGCTGTGCCCAGCCCCATCCAGGTCCCCATCAGCCACCTCATCCCCACGGACCACCCGCAGCCCCCAAGGGGGAGCAGGAGCCAAGGGGGTGGCACCGGGGGGCAGGGACCCCCCACTTTGGAACGCGAGCGGCCACCTCGGGGTCCTCGTCCCATGGTCCCCAGCCACACTGCCCCATGGCCCCGGCTGGATCCCGAGCCCCCATCGGCCATAGGGGACCCTGACCCCATCGGCCATAGCGGACCCCCCGGTCCACGCTGGGCCCCGGGGAGGGGGGATATATCCCATGATCCCCTGCGGAAGGTGCCCTGGGGGGGATATATCCCATGATCCTCCGCCCCGCTGGGGGACTATATCCCACCATGCCCCGCGCCGCCCCCGTTTCCGGGCGGTGCCGGAAGCGGCCGGTGCGGGGCGATGGCGGCCTGTGGCGCGGCGCGGACCGCGCTGCTGCTGCTGCTGGGAGCGGCGGCGGCCCCGTCCCCGGCGCGGGGCTCGCAGGGGGACCGGGAGCCGCTGTACCGGGAGTGCCTGAGCCGCTGCGAGCGGCACAACTGCTCCGGGGCGGCGCTGCGCGGCTTCCGCGCCCGGCAGCCGCTCTACATGGGGCTGACAGGTACCGCCCCCCCGCGCCCATTGGCTGCCGCGGCCCGCGCCCGCGGGACACGCCCACTAGGGGCGGGCCTGACGGGAGGTCACGCCCCCCTCCGTGCGGGTGATTGGGAGGCGCTGGCGTGGATTGGGATGGATTGGGGAGCGCTGGGAAGCAGTGGGGTGGATTGGGAAGAGCTGGGATGGATTGGAAGCAAAAAAAGCTGGGATGGATTGGGGAGCGCTGGGAAGCAGTGGGGTGGATTGGGAAGAGCTGGGATGGATTGTGAAGCTCTGAGAAGCATTGAGAAGCACTGGGATGCATTGGGAATCACTGGGCTGTCCTGAGGCCTCACTGAGAGGCTGCTGGGCTAAACTGGGAGGCACTGGGCCATGCTGGGGATCACTGGGCTGTGCTGGTTCTGCACTGGGCCGTGCACGGGCTATGCTGGGGGGCACTGGGGCTGTACTGGGGGGCACTGGTCCATACTGGAGGCTGCTGGGCCATTCTGGGGGGCACTGGGGTATTGTGGTTCAGTGCTGGGGGGCATCAAACCATGCTGGGGGTCACTCAGGCTATACTGGTAGGCACTGGGTCACACTGGTGACTACGGGGCTGTGCTGGAGTCCTGCTGGGGGGTGCTGGGGCTCCCTGGCCCATACTGGAGGGAAGGCACTGACCCACACTGGGGGCCTCTATTGGACCATTCCAGACCCCACTGGGCCCTACTGGGAGCCGCCAGCACCACCTCGGGTGCCCTCCCTATGCCCAGCACCGCACAGCCATAAATCCCCCCCATACCCCAACCTCCTCTGAGCTGCCTCCCAGCCCTCCCAGTACCCACCATGGCCCATACTGGGAGGGACTGGGGAAGACCCAGTACCAGTGATACCCCCCCAATCCCCCATAGGCTGGACCTGCCACGACGACTGCAAGTACGAGTGCATGTGGCTGACGGTGCGGCTCTACCTGCAGCGGGGCCACCGCGTCCCCCAGTTCCATGGCAAGGTGAGGGCAGATGGGTGATGGGATGGAGGGGGGGGATCCCCACCTTTTACCCCCTTAACCCCCCCTTTTTACCCCCCTTGACCCCCCCTTTTTGCTCCCCATTGCAGTGGCCCTTCTCGAGGTTCCTGTTCTTCCAGGAGCCAGCCTCTGCCTTCGCCTCCTTCCTCAATGGCCTGGCCAGCTTCCTCATGCTGCTGCGCTACAAAGCCACCGTCCCCCCCGCCTCCCCCATGTACCCCACCTGCGTCGCCTTCGCCTGGGTGAGATGGGGACCCCCCCCACCCCCCCCTTTCCATCCCTGCGCCCCACAGCGTCGCTTGAAAGGGGGTGAGGGTGATGGGGGGCTGGGGGCTGCCTCTTACAATGGGGATGTTGGGGGTTTCCTCTTGAAATGGGGGGTTATGGGGGGCTGCTTCTTAAAATGAGGATGCTGGTGGGGCTGCCTCTTAAAATGGGGGTGCTGGGGGGGTCCCTCTTGAAATGGGGGGTTATGGGGGGCTGCCTCTTAAAATGAGGATGCTGGGGGGCTCCCTCTTCAAATGGGGGTGCTGGGGGCTTCCTCTTAAAATAGGGGTTTATGGGGGTCTCCCTCTTAAAATAGGAGGTTAAGGGTGGGCTCCCTCTTAAAATGGGGGTGCTGGGGGGGTCCCTCTTGAAATGGGGGGTTATGGGGGGCTGCCTCTTAAATAGGTTAAGGGTCTCGCTAAGGAGGGCTGGGGGGCATGGGGGGCATGGGGTTGGGGGCTTCATCTTAACATAAGGATGCTGGGGGGGGCTTCCTTTTACAATGGGGATGCTGGGGGCTTCCACTTAAAATAAGGGATTATGGGGGTCTCCCTCTTAAAATAGGGGGTTAAGGGTGGTCTCCCTCTTAAAATGGGGGTGTTGGGGGGTCCCTCTCAATATGGGGGTTCTGGTGGGGTCCCTCTTAAAATGGAAAGTTATGGGGGGCCCCTGAAGGGGGTCTGGGGACAAAAAAGGGCTGGGGGGCCAAATGGGGGGGGCTCCCTCTTAAACCCCTAAACCGAGAGTGTTTAGGGGTTTTCTGGCTGAAGGCAGGGTTGGGGGCACAGGCAGGGTTGGGGGGCACAGCCTGGGTTGGGGGGCACAGCCTGGGTTGGGGGGCACAGGCAGGGTTGGGGGTGGTTTGGGAGCAGCTCCTGGTTCCCAGCTCTCCCCCCTCTCTTTCCCCCAGGTCTCCTTGAACGCCTGGTTCTGGTCCACGGTTTTCCACACCAGGGACACGGCGCTGACGGAGGTGAGAGCCCCCCCTTGGGGCTGGAGCGGCCCCTCCTGTCCCCAGAGCCGGGCTGGGTCCTGCTGCCAGCGCTGCGCAGGGCAGGGGCTGTGTGCGGGGCTCGGCTCGTCCATCCCATCCCATCCAATCCATCCCATCCCATCCAATCCATCCCATCCCATCCAATCCATCCCATCCCATTGCATCCCATCCATCCCATCCCCTCCCACCCCATCCCTGTTCCATCCTATCCCATCCCATCCATCCTGTCCCACCCCACCACATCCCATTCCCATCCATCCTGTCCCATTCCATCCATCCCGTCCAGTCCCCTCCCATCCTGTCCCATCCCATCATGTCCAGTCCCCTCCCATCCTATCCCATCCCGTCATGTCCCATCCCATTCATTCCATCCTATCCTATTCTATCCCATCCATCTCATCCCATCCCATCCCATCCATCCTATCCTATCCCATCCCGTCCCATCCCATCCCATCCATCCCATGCCATCCAATCCATCCCATCGCATCCCATCCATCCCATCCCATCCCGTCCCATCCCATCCCCGTTCCATCCTATCCCATCCCATCCATCCTGTCCCACCCCATCGCATCCCATCCCATCCATCCTGCCCCATTCCATCCATCCCATCCGGTCCCCTCCCATCCTATCCTATCAGGTCACATCCCATCCCATGCCATCCCATCCCATCCAGTCCATCCCATCCAATCGATCCCATCCATCCCATCCCATCCCATCCCATCCATCCAATCCCATGTCGTCCTGTCCCATCCTATCCCATCCTGTCCCATCCACCCCACCCCATCCATCCTATCTTATTCCATAGAAACTGGATTATTTCTGTGCTTCGGCCGTTGTCCTGCACTCCGTGTACCTGTGCTGCGTCAGGTGAGTGCTGTGTGGTGTGGGGGTGCTGGGGGGTCCTTCTTAATATGGGGGTGCTGGGGGGCTCCTTAATATGGGGGTGGTGGGTGTTCCTTCTTAATGTGGGGGTGCTGGGGGGTCCTTCTTAATGTGGGGGTGCTGGGAGCCTCCTTCTTAATATGGGGATGCTGGGGGTTCCTTAATATGGGGGTGCTGAGGGGGCTTCTTAATATGGGTGTACTGGGAGGTTCCCCCTTAAAACAGGGGTGCTGGGGGGCTCCCTTTTAAACCATGGATGCTGGGGGGACGATGGAAATGCCCCCTTCCTCCTCCTCCTCCTCCTCCTCCCCCCCAGGACACTGGGGCTGCAGCGCCCAGCCTTAATCAGCATCTTCAGGGCCTTCCTCCTGCTCTTCCTCGCCTGCCACATCTCCTACCTGACCCTGGTCCGCTTCGACTACGGCTACAACATGGCAGCGAACGCGGCCATCGGTGAGGCCGGGGTCTTCTAGATGGAGGTGTGGGGGGGTCTTATATATGGAAGGGCCCCTCAGTTCAAGAAGGACGGGGACCTGATGGAGAGAGTCCAGCGCAGAGCAACTGAGATGATGAAGGGAGTGGAGCATCTCCCTTATGAGGAAAGACTGAGGGAGCTGGGTCTCTATAGTTTGGAGAAGAGGAGATTGAGGGGTGACCTTATTAGTGCATATAAATATATAAAGGGGGAGTGTCCCGAGGATGGAGCCAGGCTCTTCTCAGTGGCAAACAATGATAGGACAAGGGGCAATGGGTGCAAACTGGAACACAAGAGGTTCCACTTAAAGCTGAGAAGAAGACAGAACACTGGACCAGGCTGCCCAGGGAGGTTGTGGAGTCTCCTTCTCTGGAGACATTCAAAACCCGCCTGGACACGTTCCTGTGTAACCTTATCTAGGTGTTCCTGCTCCGGCAGGGGGATTGGACTGGATGAGCTTTTGAGGTCCCTTCCAATCTCTAACCTACTGTGATACTGATGGCACCAAGCTGTGTGGTTCGGTTGATACACTGGAGGGAAGGAATGCCATCCAGAGGGACCTCACACGCTTGTGAGGTGGGCTGATGCCAACCTCATGGAGTTTAACCATGCCAAGTGCAAGGTCCTACACCTGGGTGGGAGCAATCCCAGACACAGCTACAGGCTGGGCAGAGAAGAGATTCAGAGCAGCCCAAGGAGAAGGACTTGGGGGTGCTGGTCGATGAGAAAATGAACATGAGCCGGCTTCAGTGTGTGCTTGCAGCCCAGAAAGCAACCGTATCCTGGGCTGCATCCAAAGGAGTGTGACCAGCAGGTCGAAGGAGGTGATCCTGCCCCTCTACTCTGCTCTCGTGAGACCTCACTTGGAGCATTGTGTGCAGTTCTGGTGTCCTCAACATAAAAAGGACATGGAGCTGTTGGAACAAGTCCAGAGGAGGCCACGAGGATGCTCAGGGGCTGGAGCAGCTCCTGTATGGAGCCAGGCTGAGAAAGTTGGGGCTGTTCAGCCTGGAGAAGAGAAGCTGCGTGGAGACCTCAGAGCAGCTTCCAGTATCTGAAGGGGGCCTATAGGGATGCTGGGGAGGGACTCTTCATTAGGGACTGTAGTGACAGGACAAGGGGTAATGGGTTCAAACTGAAACAGGGGAAGTTTAGATTGGATCTAAGGAGGAAATTCTTTCCTGTGAGGGTGCTGAGGCACTGGAATGGGTTGCCCAGGGAGGTTGTGAATGCTCCATCCCTGGCAGTGTTCAAGGCCAGGTTGGACAGAGCCTTGGGTGCCATGGTTTAGTGTGAGGTGTCCCTGCCCATGGCAGGGGGTTGGAACTGGATGATCTTAAGGTCCTTTCCAACCCAAACCATTCTATGGTTCTATGATTCTGTACTGTGATGCTGTTATATACTGTAATGCTGTGATAACTGTTATATACTGTGATGCTGTGACTCTCCCCCCTATCCCCCCGTGCCCTGACCCCCCCAGGGCTCCTGAACCTGGCCTGGTGGCTGCGGTGGTGCCTGCGGAACCGCCCGCGCCTGCCCCACGTCTGGAAGTGCGCGGCCGTGGTGCTGCTGCTGCAGGCGCTGGCGCTGCTGGAGCTGCTCGACTTCCCCCCCCTGCTCTGGGTGCTGGATGCCCACGCGCTCTGGCACATCGGCACCATCCCCCTCAACGTCCTCTTCTACAGGTCAGGGGGGGCCCTCGTTCGATGGGGGGTTCCTTTTGGTATAGGGGTGCTGGGGGGCTCCCCTCTTTGGTGCATGGGGTGCTCAGTGCCCCACTTTTGACACTGGGGTGATGGGAGCCCCCCCCATTGAAACGGGGGTGCTCAGTGCCCCCCTTTTGACATCGGGGTGATGGGAGTCATCCCCCTCTTGAAACGGGGGTGCTCAGTGCCCCCCTTTTGACATCGGGGTGCTGGGAGCACCCCTCTTTAGTGCATGGGGTGCTCAGTGCCCACCTTTTGACATTGAGGTGATGGGAGCCCCTCTCTTTGGTGCATGGGGTGCTCAGTGCCCCCATTTTGACATTGGGTTCCTGGGAGTCATCCCCCTCTTGAAACGGGGGTGCTGAGTGCCCCCCTTTTGACATCGAGATGCTGGGAGTGCCCCCATTGAAACGGGGGTGCTCAGTGTCCCCCTTTTGCCATTGGGATGCTGGGAGTCATCCCTCTCTTGAAACGGGGGTGCTGAGTGCCCCCCTTTTGACATCGAGGTGCTGGGAGTCCTCTCATTGAAACGGGGATGCTGAGTGCCCCCCTTTTGACATTGGGGTGCTGGGAGCCCCCCTCTTTGGTGCATGGGGTTCTCAGTGCCCCCCTATTTGACATTGGGGTGCTGGGAGTCATCCCCCTCTTTAAACGGGGGTGCTGAGTGCCCCCCTTTTGACATTGGGGTGCTGGGAGTCCCCCCCCATTGAAACGGGGGTGCTGAGTCCCCCCCTTTTGACATCGAGGTGCTGGGGACCCCTCTCTTTGGTACATGGGATGCTCAGTGCCCCCCTTTTGACATTGGGGTGCTGGGGGCTCCCTTCCTGCCCATGGGTGCTGATGGGAGCCCCCCCCGTTCCCTCCCCACAGTTTCCTGATGGACGACAGCCTCTACCTCCTCAAGGCCAACTCGGACCTGCTCAAAGCGGATTAGAGCTGCAGGGGGGGCCCTTTGTGCCCCCCCCGTGCCAAGCCCCCCCTCTGCCCCCCCCACCGGCCCCCCCATTGCCTTCTGAGGTTTGTTCTTCACCCCCCCCCCGTGCCCCACATCTCCCTTTGGGGGGGGGGCTGTGTGTGCATTGGGGGGGGCTGTGTGTAATGGGGGGGGCTGTGTGTAATGTGTGGGGCTGGAGCGGTGCCTTGGGGCTGGGGGAGCCCCCCCCCCCAAACCTGAGTGTTCTGTGGGGTGTGAATAAAGATGAGTTCCAATCCAACCTGGCCTGGGCCTGGCTCTTGTTCCCCCCTGTGCCCCCCCCCCCCCTCCATTGCACCCCATGTCTGTGCTGTGCACCCCACAACCCCACGTCCTGCACCCCATTTCTCTTGCTCTGTGTACCCCTGTGTGTCCACCCCATTCTTACTCCCTCCTAGCCCCCACTGCAGCCTCCCTGATGCCTCCAGCCCCTATGGGTAACCCTGCACCTTGGGCTTTATTTGGGGGCAGTGGAGGCCCCACATCAGTGTTTTGGGGTGCTGGGGGGTGTGGGAACCCCCCTCATTCTTCCAGTGGCTTCTGTGCATTGGTGACAATGATGCTCTCAATGTCTTTTGCACCCCATTTCTCTCACCCTGTGTGCCCCATATCCCCCCCCCATGCACCCCATACCCCCCCATCCTCACTCTCTCCTGACCCCCTGTACCATGCACCTCAGGCCTTTATTGGGGGGCTCAGGGCTCAGTGCTGGGGACAGGAAGAGGATGGGACCCCCCTCATTCTTCCACTGGCTTCTGTGCATGGGTGACAGTGATGCTCTCAATGTCTTTTGCACCCCATTTCTTTCACCCTGTGTGCCCCATATCCCCCCCATGCACCCCATATCCCCCCCATCCTCACTCTCTCCTAACCCCCACCACAGCCTCCCACATCCCTGACCCCCCCCTGCAGCCCCCCATCAACACCCCCCTGTACCATTCACTTCAGGCCTTTATTGGGGGGCTCAGTGCCCAGTGATGGGGACGGGACCCCCCTCATTCTTCCCCCACCTTCTGTGCATGGGCGAAGAAGACGCCCTCGACGTCGTCCACCCCGGTCCTCAGCGCCGGGGGCATCGCGTAGGAGCGGAGCTGCCGCAGCTCGAAGCCGGCCCCGCTCAGGGCCCTGCGGACGTCGCCCTCTCCCAGCGGCAGCACCGGGAGCCGCGCCGGCCCCGCCACGTAAAAGGACTCCCCGAGGGCCCCCAGCAGCACCGCGTGGCCCCCGGGCCGCAGCAGCGAGGCCGCGTTCGTGAGCGCCCGGGTGAAGGCGGCGCGGTCCGGGCTCACGGCCTCCAGGCAGAAGGCGGAGAGGAGCGCGTCCGCCCGCGGCTGCAGCGGGGCCCCCAGCGGGTCCCGGCGGTGAACGTCGATGGGGAGGATCCGCCGCAAGCGGGAGCGGAGCCGCCGCTGCTTGTCCTGCCAGGGCTCCCTGGGGAGGGAGGGGAAACGGGGGGGTTAATGGGGAGAGGGAGGGGAGGTGGGGATGGGGATGGGAGGGGATGGGGATGGGGATGGGGATGGGAGGGGATGGGGATGGGGATGGGGATGGGGATGGGGATGGGATGGGGATGGGGATGGGATGGGGATGGGGATGGGGATGGGGATGGGGATGGGGATGGGGATGGGGATGGGGATGGGATGGGGATGGGGATGGGGATGGGGATGGGGATGGGGATGGGATGGGGATGGGATGGGGATGGGATGGGGATGGGGATGGGATGGGGATGGGATGGGGATGGGGATGGGAGGGGATGGGGATGGGGATGGGAGTGAATGGGGTTAGGGATGGGGATGGGGATGGGAACGAATGGGGATAGGGATGGGAGGGGAGCGAATGGGAATGGGGATGGGGTCCTGCAGGGAGCAGCCTCGTACCTGAAGGGATGTGGGAATGGGAAGGGATGGGGATGGAAGGGGATGGGGATGGGAGCTCATGTGGGTGGGGATGGGATCCTGCGGGGAGCAGCCTGGTACCTGGAGGGATGTGGGGATGGGAGGGTATGGGAATGGGAGGGGATGGGGATGGGAGCTCATGGGGATGGGAGCTCATGGGGATGGGGATGGAGATGGGGATGGGAGGGGATGGGGATGAGGATGGGAGCAAATGGGGATGGGGATGGGAGCTCATGGGGATGGGGATGGGAGGGGAGCGCATGGGGATGGGGATGGGGATGGGATCCTGCGGGGAGCAGCCTGGTACCTGAAGGGATGTAGGGATGGGAGGGGATGGGGATGGGAGCTCATGGGGATGGGGATGGGGATGGGGGTGAGGATGGGGTCCTGCAGGGAGAAACCTGGTACCTGAAGGGATGTGGGAATGGGAGCTCATGGGGATGGGGATGGGAACATACAGGGAGCAGCCTGGTACCTGCAGGGATGTGGGGATGGGAAGGGATGGGGATGGGATCCTGCAGGGAGCATCTGGGTACCCGCAGGGATGTGGGGATGGGAGCTCCTGGGGATGGGGATGGGGATAGGATCCTGCAGGGAGCAGCCTGGTACCTGCAGGGATGTGGGGATGGGAGGGGATGGGGATAGGATCCTGCAAGGAGCAGCCTTCTCCTGCCAATGATCCCTGTGGGGATGGGGCACTGTGGGGTTCAGCCTGGTACCTGCGGGGATGTGGGGATGGGAGCCCATAGGATTTGGGGTCAGGATCCTGCAGGGATCAGCCCCCAGGATGTGGGGGCTGTGATCCCATGGGACACAGTGGTGCAGGAGATGTGTGTCCCTAGTGTCCAAAGGGATGTGGATCTGCGATCTCAAGGGATTTAGGGACGCCTTCCCACAGGGACCAGCCCAGCATCTTCAGGGGCATGGGGCTGGGATCCCATAGGATCCCATGGGATGTGGGGACACGCTCCCACAGGACACCCCCCCCCCCGGGCTCCCATGCAGCCCTACCCGCGCCCCTCGATCTTGCAGACGTGCTGGATGAAGGGGCTCCAGTCGAAGGTGCCGGGGTCCCCCCGCGCCCAGCGCCGCAGCTCCTCCCGGTTCACCGCCAGGTAATCGGTGGCCACGATCTCCTCGAAGTGGTCGCAGGCGCTGAGCAGTTGGTAAATGGTGGGACCCGAGCCCACGTCGATCAGCGTCCGCCCATGGATCTCACCTGGGGAAGGAGCTGGACGTGATGGGGTCCCACCCCAACACCCCAACATCCCAACAGCCCAACATCCCACCCCAACATCCCAACAGCCCAACAGCCCAACATCCCATCCCATCACAGCATCCCACCCCATCATCCCATCCCACCCCAACATCTCAACATCCCAACATACCATCCCACCCCAACATCCTAACATCCCATCCCAGCATTCCACCCCAACATCCCAACATCCCCTCCCACCCCAACATCCCAACATCCCATCCCAACATCCCATCCTAACATCCCAACATCCCATCCCATCCTATCCCAACATCCCATCCCAGCATCCCATCCCAACATCCCAACACCCCAACATCCCATCCAACCCCAACATCCCATCCCACCCCAACATCCCATCCCACCCAACATCCCATCCCATCCCAACATCCCAGCATCCTATCCCAACATCCCAACACCCCAAAATCCCATCCCATCCCATCCCAGCATCCCATCTCATTCCAACATCCCATCCCAGAGCCCTGTCCCATCCCACCCCAACATCCTCTCCCACCCCAACATCCCATCCCATCCCAGCATCCCATCTCACTCCAATATCCCAGAACCCCATCCCATCCCACCCCATGGGCACCACAGAGCAGTTGGGAACCACCCCATCGAGTCCCCCCCACCCCACCCCACGGGGCCGGGATGAACCGGGATGAACGGCGATGGGAGCTGCCCCCGCACCCCCAGTCCCGGGGTCCCCACGGGCCCTCACCGGTGCCGAAGGTCTCGGCGAGGCACCGCAGCTTCCAGGGCACCACGAACTCCTCGGAGGTGAAGTCAGCGCGGGGGGGGCCGTAGTTGTTGGCCAGGTACGCGCGGGGGTCGAAGCGCTCGTAGCCCTCCCGCAGCGCCGAGAGCCCGCTCATGGCCGCGGCTCCGCCGCTCCCCGGCCCCGCAGCCGCCTTTTATCCCCCCCCGGTGCTCATCCATCCCCGTAACCAGGTTAGAGCCGGGGCCCCCGGGGCCAGGGATGGGGCCGGGCGCCAGCGAGGCCGGATGCGGCCCCGTGGAGATAACGCGGTTCTATTGGAGCCGGGGGGTTTGGGGGGGGGAGCATCCAGGAATCCGGGTCCATCCCTGCGGCTGGGAGTGGATGTGGGACCGCGGATGGGGCTGCCCCAGGGGTGACCTCCCCTCTGTGGGGGGCCCCGGCAGTGGGGATGGTCATGAGTGACCCATGGGGTGGGGATGGGGATGGAGGTGGGAAGGGGGGGAATAGGGAGAGGATGGGGATGGGAATGGAATAGGGATAGGGATAGGGATAGGGATAGGGATAGGGATAGGGATAGGGATAGGGATAGGGATAGGGATAGGGATAGGGATAGAGATAGGGATAGGAATAGGGATAGGGATAGGAAGGGGCTGGAATGGGGGAGAAGATGGGGATGGGATAGGGATGGAGATGGGAAGGGGTTGGAATAGGGGAGAAGATGAGGCTGGGGATGGAATAGGATTAGGAAGGGAATGGAATGGGGAGAAGATGGGGCTGAGGATGGGATAGGGGTGGAGATTGGAAGGGATTGGAATGGGGAGAGGATGGGTCTGGGAATGGGATAAGGGTAGGAAGGTAGTGGAATTGGGGAGAAGATGGGGCTGAGGGTGGGATAGGGATGGAGATGGGAAGGGATTGGAATAGGGAGAGGATGGGTCTGGGAATGGGATAGGGGTAGGAAGGGATTGGAATGGGGAGAAGATGGGGCTGAGGATGGGATAGATGGAGATGGGGAGGGACTGGGATGGAGAGGATGGGGCTGGGGATGAAATAGGGGTAGAAAGGGAGTGGAATGGGGGAGAAGATGGGGCTGGGGATGGGATAGGGATGGAGATGGGAAAGGACTGGGATGGAGAGGATGGGGCTGGGGATGGAATAGGGGTAGGAAGGGAGTGGGATGGGGGAGAAGATTTGGCTGGGGATGGGATAGGGATGGAGATGGGAAGGGACTGGGATGGGGGAGAGCTGGGGACTGGGCTGGGGCTGTGCTGGGAATTGGGGTGTCCATGGGATGGGCACGGGAATGAAGCTGGGAGCGGGGCCCATCTGAGCTCCCCACTGCCTCCATCACCAGTGAGCTGAGCGCACTGGGCCTCAGCCCAGCACCGGGCACCACCAGCACCCTGGGGCGAAGGGGCAGGAGGGGACCCACTGAGGGGCTGGGTTCAGGACCCCAAACCCTGCCCGGGATGGGGCGGGAGGTGACGGGGATGGGCTTGGCCGTGGCCCAGGGGCAGCTCAAGGGAACAGGAACAGGAACAGCTAATCTGGGTGCTGGCACCGCTGGGGCTGGAGGGGGGGCCGTTATGTAAGAGATGGTTCCCCCCCCCCCAAAGCTCCCCAATACCCCCCAATGCCCCCCCAAACCGGGACCCTGCAGCGCGCTCAGGCCCCTCGGCTGCCTCAGTTTCCCCCCTTCCCACAGCATCCCATGGGGACCCCCCATAACCAACACCACCGGACCAGACCGGGCACTTTATTGCCATACAGAGCCCATCATTGCCACAACCCCACCGCAGCCCCCCCCCCCCGGACCCCGTTTGGCACCGGGGGAGGGGGGTTCATTCAGCGCTCCCCATCCTCATCCCCCCCTTTCCTTTGCCAGGGAATGCAAGAGCCGCTCCCGGTGCTGCCGGGACCCCCCCCAATCCCCACCGGCCCCCTCAATGCCTGCTATGGGGTGGGGGGTCCCAAGCGAATGGGAGCCCACCCCCCACATCCCCCCCCACCGTCCTGCGCTGCCTCTTCGGGGGGTCTGAGCAGAGCCCCCCCTCCATCTCCATCCTCATCCTCACCCCCCCCCACCCCAGACCCCATCTGCCCCCATTGCCACCCTCATCCCCTCTGGGCCTCTTGGGACAGGGAACGGGACAGGGTGCGGGGGACCCCGTTCTTGGCTCCTCGGAGGTCCTGGGGGGCGAAGAGGGGCAGGGGCAGGGTGCGGGCATAGGGCAGGAGGTGCTGGCTCAGGGGCTGCCCCACGCAGCCCACCCGGAGCACGCCCCATGGCGAGCGCTGCTCCAGCACCCGCAGCTCCCCGTGATGCTCCAGCGTCTCCCGGCGCTGCTCGTCCACCTCCCGACGGCACCACCTGGGAATGGGGCCGGGAATGGGGTCGGGGCTCAGCACCCCCTTCCCCATCGCCCCTAATGGGGACCTTTGGAGACCCCCAGCATCCCTCATGGCCACAGGTGCGTGCCCAGCCCCATGGAGACCCCAATTGAACCCCCAAGACCAGCCCCCCCCCCACCTCCCTGGAGCTCCACAGGGACCCTTGGAGCCCCCCACATCCCCTTGGACACCCCTATATGCCCTATGGCCCCATTGGAACCCTTGAAGCATCTCACAGCCCCCTTGAGGACCCCTGAGACCCCCATATCCCCTATGGCCCCACAGAGACCCTCGGACCTCCCTATAGAGTTTGGGGAACCCTGAGACCCCCATATCCACTATGGCCCCACAGAGACCCTTGGACCCCCCCACAGAGTTTGGGGACCCCTGAGACCCCTATGGCCCCACAGAGACCCTTGGATGCCCCCATAACATTTGGGGACCCCTGAGACCCCCATGGCCCCATAGAGACCCTCAGACCCCCCTATAGAGTTTGGGGAACCCTGAGACCCCTATGGCCCCCCAGAGACCCTTGGACTCCCCTATAGAGTTTGGGGACCCCTGTGGCCCCACAGAGACCTTTGGATGCCCACATAACATTTGGGGACCCCTGCAACCCCCATGGCTCCATTTGAACCCCTGAGACCCCCATATCCCCCCATGGCCCCATTAGGATCCTTGAACCCCCCCCTTGAACCTCCCCACAACCCTTGAGGACCCTCAACCCCCCCCCTACACAACAAGTGACCGCTGAGCCCCTCACCCCTCCTCAGGCCTGGTGCTGAGCTCCAGATCGAACCATTCGGCGCTGAAGCTCTCGTGGCGCCCCACATCCTCCTCCCGCACCCGGCAGCCCAGGCGGGCCCCCGAGAGCAGCCCCGCACTGTGGACCACGGCAGTGGGGCCCAGCATCCTGCCCCCGATGCGCCGCTGCTGCTGCTGCTGCCCCCCCGATGCACCCCAGCTCTTATATAGCCCCACAGTGGCTATTTTGGGCCCTGGCGCTGGCACTGCAGGGACGGGATGGTGCCAAGCAGGGGGTGGCACCGGGGACACGTGTGTGGCCCCGTGTGTGGCTGCGGTAACACCCCCAGAGCCGTGTCCCCTCTATGGGGATGGCACTGCCAGGACCCCCCCCCCAACACCACCCCACGGCTTGGATCCAACCCAGGGCACGTTTGGCCTTTCCCTGCCTGTCACCGATGGGCACTGAGGTGGGGATGGCGTTGGTGGCCCTGGCACTGCCCTATAGAGCCATTAGGGCCCCATGGCAGGGACAGGCTGTGCTGGGGGGGGGTGTTAAAAGGTGTCATTCCCCCCCTACTCCCAGGCTGGGCTATTTACAACTCAGTCCTGCTCACGGAAGAGCATCCCGCTCCAATGGGATGAACCAGGATCCATGGACCAGGATGCTCCATGCGCTGCATCCTCCTCGCCTTCATCCCCTCTGGGTACCGGGGCTTTGTGGAAGACAGTAACCAAACAGTGCAAGGCTTTTAATGGTGACACGTGTGTGTGTGTGTGTGTGTCCCTGCAGGGACAATGGGGGACACCAGACCCCCAGGATGATGGGGGGGGGGGGCCGGCCCCCTCCCTGCAGTGTGGGCCCCATGTGCAGGCGGCTCCACTGCTTCTCGTTATAGCTCAGCACCCGGCCCTGGTGCTCACAGGTAGGGAGCAGCCGCAGGCACCCACACAGCAGCACCCCCAAGGGAGCAAAGCCTCTGCTTAAGGCTCTGCCTCCCCCCCCCAAGAGGCAGCAAAGCACCAGGGACCAACCCAGACCCCCCCTGGGTGCTGCAGTGGGGCAGAGCTGGGGCTGCCCCCCAATGTGACGGGATGGAGCTGAGTCCTCAGCCTCACTCATCCTCCCCATGGGAGCCTGGGGTCACCCTGCGTGGGGCTGAGCCCCATGGTTTGGCACGCAGGCAGCAGGGGCAGCAGTGGAAGGAGCCGAGCGCTGCAGCATCCTCCTGGGGTCCCGTTCCCAAGGGAATGTCCGTGGGGCTCAGGGCCGGGCGCTGGCGCAGAGCTCGCCGATGCGCTGCCGGAGGTGGAAGGCGAACTCGAACATGGTGGCAGCCAGGCTCTGGTGGACCAGGGAGCGGGGCAGGCGGCCCTGTGGGGAGGGGATGGAGGCGTGAGCGGGGATAACGGGGGTGTGGGGATAACAAAGACACTGGGATAACAGGGATGCTGGGGTAGCGGGGATGCAGGGATAATGGGGATGCTGGGATAAGGGGTATGCTGGGATAACAAAGACACTGGGATAATGGGGATGCTGGGGTAGCGGGGATGCAGGGATAATGGGGATGCTGGGATAAGGGGTATGCTGGGATAACAAAGACACTGGGATAATGGGGATGCTGGGGTAGCGGGGATGCAGGGATAATGGGGATGCTGGGATAAGGGGTATGCTGGGATAACAAAGACACTGGGATAATGGGGATGCTGGGGTAGCGGGGATGCAGGGATAATGGGGATGCTGGGATAAGGGGTATGCTGGGATAACAAAGACACTGGGATAATGGGGATGCTGGGGTAGCAGGGATGCGGGGATAATGGGGATGCTGGGATAAGGGGGATGCTGGGATAACAAAGACACTGGGATAATGGGGATGCTGGGGTAAGCGGGGATGCAGGGATAATGGGGATGCTGGGATAAGGGGGATGCTGGGATAACAAAGACACTGGGATAATGGGGATGCTGGGGTAAGCGGGGATGCAGGGATAATGGGGATGCGGGGATAAGGGGGGTGCTGCGATAATGGGGATGCAGGGATAATGGGGATGCTGGGGTAAGGGGGATGCTGGGGTAGCGGAGATGAGGGGATAACAGGGATGCTGGGATAACGGGGATGCGGGGATAACGGGGATGCGGGGATAACGGGGATGCGGGGATAACGGGGATGCGGGGATAACGGGGATGAGGGGATAACGGGGATGCAGGGATAACAGGGATGCTGGGATAACGGGGATGCTGGGATAACGGGGATACTGGGATAACGGGGGTGCTGCGATAACGGGGATGCTGGGATAGCAGGGATGCAGGGATAAGGGGGATGCTGCCGCAGCGGGGAGCTGCCGCTTGCAGGGAGCGGGCTCCGGGGGAGGAACTGCTTTTGATTCCCCTAAAAAAGCCCTGCACGACTCAACCCAACCGCCTCGGCCCCGGCTCTATTGTGTGAGAGGCATTAAAAGTACATCTCCTCCGTGCCGGTGCCGGTGCCGCTGCGGGGGAAGGCAGCCGAGGGAGGGCTGGGAGCGAGCACACGGGGTGCTCAGGTAGGCACAGAAGGCACCATCCCCTTGCAGTGTGGCGTTCCTCATTGCATGAGGCTATTCCCTATGGAGCAGGGTGCCCATTGCAGTGATGAGACTGCTGGTCCAAGGGCCATGGCAGCAAACAGGCTCTGGGGGCAAAGCTCCAGCACGTTCCAAAAGGCCCCCAGGGCTGTGTAATCCTCCCCGTTGGGTGAGGAAGGGATGAGCCATGGGCTATAAATACCCCTCCATGGCCAAAGGAAATAACAAGGAGAGAGGCCCGGGCACCAGCAGAGCCCTGCAGGAAGGTGCTGGAAGCAGCAGCCAGGGGGTTATTAATAGCCTGGCTGCTCTGGTATCCCTGCCAGCAGCAGAGGCCGCGGGTGAGGGCTCTCCAGGCTGGGAAGCACAAGGAACATCTTCCCTTTCCCAGCTCCGGCTTCCCACAACCGAATGGGTTCAGCACCCCCCTGGCAGCGGAGCCAAGGGCTGGGAAGGGAAAGGCATCCCCAGCACAAAGGGGCAGGAGGCCCTGCTCTGTTCTCTGCTCTGGCATTCCCTGTCCTTCCCAAAGCGTTCCCCAAGGCAGGCAGGAGCTGTGGGAGGGGAGGGGGCCGCGCAGCTCCTGCAGCAGAGCGCTGATGAATGGAGCCTTTGTGCTCTGCTGCTGCAGCGCCGTTACCACGTCAACCTCCGGAGAAGGAGAGGGAGGGGGGGAAAGGGGGCAGCTCGACCCCGGCTCCCTTTTGTCTGGGCCACCAGTAAGGAACTGGGACCCGCAGCTCCACCAATAGCTCCTCTCAAGCGGTCAAAGAGCCTTGCACTGAGTGCAGACTCAGCCCCACACTGAGTTGTGGGGGTTCCTGGGGGCTGCAAGAGCCCAGTCCTGCACACAGAGATGTGGAATCCCAAGGGAAAAGCTTCCCCCCTCACATAGGGGAGGGAAAAAGGGTGATTTTGAGGGATGTTTCACCTCCACCTCAGAGCAGCCTTTGATAAGGAGCCGCTTTGCAGGAGCACGGCGCAGGTTGGGAGCGTGCAGCGGGGATGCTGGGGGCTCTGCTGGGGCCAGGATGCGGGCGCAGCGCGGGGGCATCAGCAGGGAACAGCTTTTACCTTCAGGTCCGTGTTGAGAATCCAGATGAAGGTGCAGACCCTGGGGTTGCTGGGACACTTGAGCACGATGAAGCCTCCGGGGCCGTTCTCACCCCTGCGGGGAAGCGAGTGCATGAGGTCAGAGCTGCTCTGGGATGCCCTGGGGTGCAGCAGCTCCCCCCCAGTGCCCAGCAGGGTGAGAGCAGATGCAGGGAAGGGATCTGCTTTGGCTGCAGCACACGAGGGGCAGGGTTCCCACAGGTGCCTTGGCAGCTCAGAAGCAGCCTCTGCCTCCAGCCTGTGCCAGCTCAGCCCCAGCTCTTCCTCCTCCCACGGTTCCCTATGGAACCCTATGGAAGGGTTCCCATAACCCTATGGAAGGGGGTGCAAGGAAGAGGTCCCAGGACACCCTGCATGGGCAGGGAGAGGCTCAGTGCAGGGAGCCTTGTCATGACATCCCCCCTGAGTCCTCTTTGCACGATCTGATCCATCTCCCAGACAAGAGCCCAGATCCAGCCTTCCCTTCCCAGTTCAGCACCACGCTATTTTCTGCTGCATACGTTTGTAACGGGGATCTTTCTAGGCCCTGAAGTCCTCAGCTCTGCAACAGACCTGAGGCAGCTCCCAGTTAAAATGCCAATTGCTTTAACCAGATTAGGAGGAAAAACCCAAGTCTGTGGCACAGCTGGGCCCCAAGCACCGGAGCAGCATAACAAGGAGCCCTTGTCTGACGAGGCTAAGCCCACTGAGATCCATCCCCAGCCAGGCAAAGCTGGCTCTTTGGAAGGGGAGAGGCCCAAGACCTGCCCTGCTTCGGGAGCCAGCCCGTCCTGACGCAGCTTGGTTCACCCCTGGGACCATGTGTGAGTGTCCCCAGCCTTTAAAGTCAGTCAGGGCCTGGCTTACGAGAAGCAAAAGGCATCTGAGAGGCTCCAGCAGCCACTGTCAGCTGTTTCCTGCCCCTCAGGAACGGCAGCTGTCCCTGGGTGGGAATTCACTGTTACATAAACAGGATGCAGACCGGGATGGGGATGGGGTTTGTGGTCAACACCTCCACTCCCCTGAGCTGGGGAACGCCCGAGCAGCGTGAGGAGAGGTTCTCTTAACAAAGGGAAGCAAGGTTGAGCTCCACAAATAGACCTGGCTTCCTGCACATGCTGCCAGGGAGACAGCAGGGGTTTCGTTTCAGTGGCTCCAGCGAAGTGTCAGGCAGCAGCTAGAGGGAGAACAGAGCCTTGCCTCTTACCTGACATACTTGGAGAGCGGAGGCTTGAGGCTGTGCGTGGTCGCCATCCCTGAGGACAGGTACCTGTCTCTTCTCCTCTCGATCCGCCGCACGTTCACGAAATCCCTGAGCAAAGAAAGGAAGGCTTCAAACACTGTTTGGGGGAATTGGGAGGAGTGGATCCCGCTCTCCAGGCTCCTAGGAAAGGCTTTGGCAAGGGCATGGCAACACCTGGACAGAGCCTGGAGCAGTGCTGACACCAGGCACATACTGAGTGTCTGCAGGAACCTTGAGGGCTCCCTTTGCCTTTGGGAGCATCACCCAGTGCCTCATTGACAGTGGGAGCTGCTGGGTAGCACAGAGCAGCAGGGCTGGGTGCTCCCAGTGCCACGCTTGTGTCTGTGCTTCAGGAGGGTGGTCAGGGGCTCAGTGCAATGCAAGGAGTGGAATAAACCGACCTCGGGGAGACAACACCGCCTGCAGCGCCAGCCGCCACGTCGTAGGAGATGATGGTGTTGTCCTCCACACGCTGCAGGATCTGGGGAGGGTGAAAGAAAGGAGATAAGAGAAGGTCTGCATAGGCCAACAGAGACACGGAGCCTCCCCTACCCCAGTAGTAAAGGCAAGCAGTGTGAGCTCCTTGGCAGCGTGTGCCTCATCCCTCTCTTTGGGGTGGCCTCCGGACCCCCACCAGCCCAGAGCCCAGCAAGCAGAGGCAAGGCCTGGTTTGGGAGCTGGCCCATCTCCCTGCCCACCTCATGGGCTCTTGGCTGGGCACCGGCGGGCAGCTGGCTGCCACACTGCATTGGGCTCGGACGGATGAGCGGCGAGGATTTAACGCCTCGGTGCCTCGGCTCCAGCTCAAGCACCACGAAGGGCCTGGCCACAGCCTGCCTTGGACTGGGGAAGCTCCCAGCTCTGTGCTCCAAGGAGCTGCTGTGATTAAGCCATCTTTGTCCAGCACGCTCACCTGGCAAGCTGCCACTGTTCTGTTCCACAGGATCATCTTCTCAGGCTGGAGAATCACCTCCTGGTAAACGGTTTCAGCAGAGCACTGCAGGAAAGCCTGGGGACAGAGGCAGAGCGGTCAGCCAGCCACTAAGGAACAGAGGACAGGTCCCAAAGAACTGGGGTAATACAGGAGGGAAGAGGAGAGGCCGGCCTGGCTCCAGAGCACGCTGTCAACAGGGGCCATGGAGGGCACACGTGGAGCTGGAAGAGGGAAGTGTGTCTGCAACACGGCCACACACACACAGACCCTGGGGCTGGCTCCTCTCCCACCCTCACCCCTCTTCAGCAGCAGCACAATTGCTCGGGGAAGTGGCTAAGGAGCTCTTCTGAGCTCCAGCACAGACCCCGACCTCTCCATGTCCCTGTGGGGCCGGGGGATCTTTGGAGGTAAACGGTTAATGCAGTAAAGTGGGCCCCATCCAGCTTTTCCTCTGCGAGCTGCTCCATTGGCAGCTCCTGCCAGCCAGGCAGCATATGCACTGGAACAAAGAAAAGCTACCGCAGCACCGATGCTTCATTAAAGCGTGGGTCCCAGCCAAGGCACTCCAGCAAGAGGGCACAGAGCACGGCACTTCCGAGCAGCTCTCCTCCATGCCAGGAGGCAGCAGACGCACGCTCAGCCCTGGTCTTGCTGGCAATTAGTTCCAATTAGCCTCCTTGGTCAGATTAAGTCCTAGATGCTGGGGTTGGAAAGCGACTCTTGCAGTCACCTGCTCCCACTTCTACCGATGGGAGAGCTTGGGGCCCAGCCTGTTTGCTGGGGAGTTTGTCTGCCAGCCAAGGGGCTTTCCTGGAGAGATTCCCTAGAGCGTGCAGTGCACTTCATCTGTCTCAAGCAAAGAGAGTGTGCTTTGCAGCCTGCCCCATCCTGCCAGGGCCTCCTGCACCGCACGGCCTTAAGGAAGTGATCCAGGAAGGTTCTTACCTTTAAAATAAAGGTCTTGCCATGGAAAGGTATTTCAAAAGTGTAAACAACGTCACCAAAGTCCTGGGCAGGAAAGAAGGGAGTTTCAGTTTCCTTTATGTTAGCAAAAAGCAAGCACTTGTGTAGAAACCACCCCACGCGTCCCTGCAGGACCCTCTCCAGCCCTCACACGTGCCCTGGCTCCCCATAGCAACCCCAGGAGGGAACTGCGCTGAGCCCGTTTCAGAGGCACACGCACAGATTTCCATCAACAAAACAACATCCAGAGAGGCAGCAGGGATGAGACAGAAAAAGAATCCGCCCCATGCCAGCCTGCAAACTCCTCACCAAGGTCAAACTCTCTTTGTAGCAAGCTACCAACACCAGGGTGAAGGGAAAGGGGGGAGTTTGCCAACGCTGCTGCTGCTGCTGGTACCTACATCTGAGAGGAGCCTCCCTGGGGGGGTTAGGGATGGACAGATGATAACCTTTCATCATTAGCCCTGTGTTAAACTCTGATGAGTCTATTTAAATCCATCCCCCTTTGGATAAAGAAAACAATCTGCCCAGCTAGTTTGGCATCAGACAATGGATCACTTGACAGGGGAATTCTGAACACCAGATGAGACAGCAGTTTGCAGGACTCTCACTCCACAAGCTGAAAGCAAGGGCAGGTTTAGGAGGCAGAGGCACTGCCCTTTTCTCTCCAGCCTTTGGAGATAAAAGAGCTCTAAGTACCCCCCAAAACTGCCCTGTAGCTCAAGGAATGGTGAGGAAACAGGGCAGGGCAGGGCCTGCTTTGCTCCGAGTGCTGCCCAAAGCAAGAGGTGCCACGGGGAGAAGACCTAAGGCAGAGATGTGTCCCCCATTTACACTCCAGCACCCTCAAGGTCCCTGTCCTAAGGAAAGGGGAACACAAACAGCTTTGGAGGTAGGAGGAGAGGGTCTGTGCCCCACATCCTCCTGCTCCCATGTGAGTCAGAGCTGTTTGCTGTGGTGTTCCCAGCATGCCCAGAGCCCTTGTGCCACCACAGCTCCGCATCCCAACCTCAACCAAAGGTGAGCCCTTGCCCGCCTGCCAGCTCCAGGGAGGAGGGATGGGCTCTCTCCTGTCAAACGGGAAGGCAATTAAACGTCTAATTAAATAAGAGGGGGTTTTACATTGAACTGAACTGGAAGAGGTTCCTAATTCAATCAGGTAATTGTAACGCTTGTTAATCTTTCATGTCGCGAGGAGGTTTCTAAAGCCTCATTTGTCCTCCCGTTTGCACCAAGCCATGCGTGCTCCCTGCCAGCAGCACACGGGGCAGGGCCACACTTGCATTGTTCTTCTCGAACTTCCAGTTCTCCTCCTGGGCGAGGATTTGGTCCACAACCTCCATGGCATCCTTGCCTTGCCGGATGTACTCTTTCTCCTAGGAGAGAGGAGAGCACGTTGTTAGCTGGGCTCGCATGCAGGCTATGCAAGGCTGGCAGAGGGAAAGGGGATCTCTCCCATCACCACCAAGCAGAAATCTCTTAATTTGGGTGACAGAGGCCTCATTTTGGAGCTCGAAGTCACGCTCCCTGCCCTGGCTGGCATCCACACGCCAGCTGCGTCTACCAGCGGGGCTCCCGCCTGCATGTGAACGCTTCCAACAGGGAAAGGGCTGGGAGATGAGCAGAGCTTCCTCCCGTGGAGGTGCCAGAACCCGGGCTGAAGCACTTGGAAAGGAGCAGGAAGCAGTTTGTGCCCAGCCAGGCTTTGAGGAGGTGAAGGACTGCCCTGTGAGCCATGGATCAGCAGGGATGGCCGAGGCGATGCCCTTCTTGGTAGGTGACCAGGGAAAGGGAGAGGGGGATTTAGACGGAGCCAGAATCACATCCCTATGGGATGCTGCAGGGAAGAGCACGCAGCCCTGGGGATGTGGGTGAATGTTGGGTGGCCCAGGGAACCCCCTCTTGTGGTGGCCACGATGCCACTGGTCTCAGGGCACAGAGGGACCAGCCTGGGGTGCTCTGGAGATACAGCACCCTGATGGGGCCATAGGGGTGTCAGAGACTCCCATAGCCTTGGAGAGGCCTAAAGCCAAGGGACAGGGAATGGAGGGGGACAGGGAAGGGAAGGGGGCAGGGAATGGAGGGGAGACAGGGAAGGGAGGGGGACAGGGAATGGAGGGGGACAGGGAATGGAGGAGGACAGGGAATGCAGGGGGACAGGGAAGGCAGGGGGACAGGGAATGCCACCTCAGGCCACGCTGCCTCTGCCTACCTGAGCTGTCAGCACCTTCCTCCCTGCACCTTCCTCATCCGATTCATTGTCGGACCCTGGGGAGGGGGGAAGCACACAATGAACACGCAGCTGATGAAGCCCCCCCCTTGTACAACCTCCCTCTGAGCTTGTCCTGGGGGACAGTGCCCGATCCCACACCCTATCCCATGGGAAGGGCTCCCAGTGGGGATGGCCCTGCTGCTGAACAGGGGCACTGCTCTGATCATCACCTGCTGGTGGCAACTCCCCCCGTGCCTTCATCCCAAGGGCAGCCTTTTGCAAGCCCTTTAACCACTGCTAAGAGCACTTAATCCCAAGACCACAAAAGGCTCCAGTTTCCCATAGAGTCAAAGCCAGGCCTAGGGGCTGAGCGTGACTCTGCTCTGCAATGACCCAGGGACAGCATGGTTGTGCCCCCCCATGCCCTGCCGGCGTGCAGGGCAAGGACAGGGGGCCTGTTCTGCAGAGTCAGGCCTTGGAGGCCTGGGATAACGGGACAGGGCCCAGGGAGGAGGCTCAGGAGGAACACTGTGATGGGCACAGCGAGGCAGAGGAGGAGGAAGAGCACATCCTACCTGCAAAGGACTCGGGTGGGGAGTAGAACTGCCCCTCGGAAAGGGCTCCAGGGTAGAGCAGGGGCCCACGAGAGGCTGCAGCCTGGGCTGCCAGGTACCCTGCGAAGCAAAGCACAAGGTTTTACACACACAGCATCCAGTGCTTCGACACCGAGGGGTGCTGGACCTCCCAGGCACATCCAACCCCTCCCCTCAAGCACCCTCCCAGGCACTTTCCTCCAGATCCAGCTGGTCTTTCTGCACCAACACCAGCCAGCCCACCAGCTTTTCAGCTCCTATTGCCTCATCTTTTGTTTGAGACATTTTATCTGCATGGAGATCAATGGGCTCTTCTGCCTGTCAAATCCAAAGGCGATTAAGCATCTAATTAAATAAGAGCTTCCCCTGGAAGCAATTTGGAACCTGAGCCTAATCCAATAGAGGCATTAAACACTTGATCATTTTTCATCTTAAAGCCTCCTCGCAAGACCCAAACATCCTCTGGTGTTTTCCAGTCAGTGAGTTTCTGATTGAGCCCCACTTGACAAATACTCCTTGCTTTAGATGCTGTTTCCCAGGCCCCTGTCATAGTGAAGCCTGGGAGAGTGACAGCCTCCTTTTGCCATGCTAGGAATGGGCAGCTGTGCCAGTCCAGTGCCACTTGCTCCCTAGAAGGACCCCTGCAAGTTACAGGTGCCCAGCACTGTGATTTGTACCCTCAGTGCCCAGAGGCTGTGAGCCTTCACAGGCCATAAGTCACGTCGTGCCCCTGACACATGGCTATGAGTGAAGCAACCCTCCCTGAAAGGTCTCCAAAGGCAGACACAGAGCCCCAAAGCCCGCCTGGCACTTGTCTCCCTGCTTCAAAACCCCTTCTCCAAGGCAGAGGTGAGCTCTGTTTCCAACCCATCTGGCTTCTGCATCCAGACACTGGGGAATCTGGCACACTTTGCTCCTCTCAATTAAAAGATGCTTTTTATAAGCTGGTATTTTCTTCCCCTGAAGGGAACTTCTATACCATAACGGAACGGAGTCAGGCACTTGCTGTCACAGCCAGCCTGGAGATCACTTCTCCATCAGTGTCATAGTTGCCAAGGTGCTGCTAAAGCAGCAGCAACCCCAGGCCTGGGAGCCTCATCTGCCAAGTCCTACCAGAGAGGAGCAAACCACTCACATCGTTCCTCTTCTGCTTCCTGAGTTAGGACTTTAAAATCCAGGAACCAAGTCTCCAGCCAAGCGATGACAAACGAGACGATGGGGAGCAAGTAGCCAAAAGCCCCTTTGGCCAGAAGCTGTGTGGAAGAAAGGAGAAAGCAAAGGGAGTTCCCAGCAACAGGAAAACCAGCGGCAGCAGCAATTCCCTGGGAGCCCAAGGAGACCAACCTTGGAGAGGATGACCTTCACGATCAAGAAGGCACTGGATACCAACGTAGTGACCTGAAAAACAAGCGTGCACGCATCAGATCCCTGCAGGCTCCACATGGAGGGAGAAAGCTCCAAAGAGGAAAGCAAAAGCTGCCTCCTTACCGCTATGACCCACCAGTGGCGCAGCCGGATGATGGCGTAGGCCAGCAGCAACACAAAGAAGCGAAAGAAAGCCAAGACCTTGAAAACAAGAAGCCATGGACACTGATCACTGCCCCTGTCCCTCTGCCAGCTGCTTGGGAGGACCCAGACAGGAGCCAGGCTCCTACACAGAGCAAGCCAAGGCTGCAGCAGGATGGGCTGAGCCAAGGGGCCCCCCTCCTCCCAGATCCCCCCCAGTCTGCCCAAAGCTGTTTCCTCACCTGCAGCGGTCTGAGATACTCACAAATATATCAAAGAAAGAGGTTTTAAAGCTGTACTTGATGATTTCATTCTCCAAGTTCTTCTGAATGCCATCCTTGGTCTGAAGGGGAGACAGGAAACCACAAAGCCATTGAGTGCACTGATAAGAAACTAATGGTAGAAAGAACCCGGCCAAGCGGTGACCGGAGGTTGCCGCCAGGTCAGGTTATGCACCAGGCATACAAATGCTGCCTCATCTGCCAGGGCAGCACCACGGGAGGATACAAGAGCCCATTTCACCCTCGGTTTCACACCGAGGAGCACGAGGCGAGCAGCCAGAGCAACGTTAAACGCTTCTCCATGGCCTCCTCGTAGCTGCTCCTTTGGCTCAGGCACCAGCTCCCAACTCTCTCAGCCTAAAGGCCTTGGTTGAGCACCTCCCACTTGTGCCCATCACTTCCATGGGTGGCTCTAGGGGACAGCCCTCAGTTGTACTGGAGGGGAAGTCACAGGAAACTGCTCCTCCAGCACCTCCGTGCTGAACACAGCATCCCACAGCTGGGTAATGCAAACACCTCCCCTGCGAGCGCTCTTCTCAGGGGTTGCTCAGCAAGGCCGGTGGGATTTAAGCTGGGATCATCCCTTGCTGTGCAGAGCACTGAGGGGTCCCCTCTCTTGTTTCCCAGGCCAGCTGGCTTCCAGCAGTGCTGAGCTGCCCTCCAGGAAAGCTGATGGAGGAAGCCAAGCAGCAGGTTCAAATGTACTGGCAAAGGGGGAAAGGGAGGAGAGGGGGACGAGGGGCACGCACAGACACAGACAGACGATGAGGAAAGCCAAAATGCTTCCTGAGGTATCGTATGGGAGCATGGAAAAAGCTCACAGAAGAGCTGCCTTGCCTCACCCCCAGACAATCCGGGGCCCGCCAGCCCTGCTGCTCCTTTTGACACCATAAATCCTGCTCTGGGGAGCCTGTTTGTGAGGCTGGTTGTGAGGAAGCGGATGGCTCAGGTAACTGGAACAAATGCTTCACCTTTAGGCTATTGGTTTGAACGCAGCCCAGCTGGCCTGGAAGCCAGTAGAGGCTGGCAGCTGTCTGATGAGCTGTGAGAAACAAGTTGGTGGATCTCAGGCCAGTCCTTGGCAGCCGGGTGTCCTGGCACCCTCTGCTCTGACAGGCCAAGGACAGAAGAGGCAGCCATCGGGAAACGGGCCCTCTAGGTCAGGGTTGGTGTTTGATATCCAGGGCAAGCAGCTCTGCACTGATGCTTTACCCGAGCTGGGGCTGCAGGGCTCGTGCTTTGCCCCACACCACTTCACCAGGAGACACAGGGAAGGCTTGGCATTAGGAGTTCTGGGAGGTGTTTTCAGTTTGAACTGGAGAAGAACTGAAGCATCTCCTGTCCCCGAGAGCAGCGAGTTACAGTTTGCAGGCAACAGACATTTAACAAGAGCCAATTTGCTCGGCTTATCTTGCAGTGAAGGAAAACAGTTTGATAAAAAAAGCATTAGTCATGATATGAAGTCGTTGCTCTTCATAAGGAGGCAAATAAGCTGTCCTAATAGCTTTAAATATGCAGCATCTCGGCTCAGGGCCTAAATATCAGCAGTTAGTCACTCATTAATGGCTACCTGCAAGCCCTATGCTCACAGTCACCCTGGTGACCGTGCTGGCACATTATCCCCCGGGGGCTGGAGAGACAGCACCTCTGCAGAGAGCCCGGAGAACAGGGACAAGAGCAGGAGGCCGGGGTCCAAGCCAGGACACCGTTGGCATCGCTGGAATGCTGGCTGGGAGATGCTTTTTCCTAGGCAGGGGTCTCTTGAGGCTCTCAGTGCTGCAGAGGGGAGGGAGCTGCTGGCCCAGACAATCTGTTAAGTGCAGACACCCAGGAGATAAGGAGGGCAGAGATAAGAGCTGTTAAGTGAAGGCAGGATCCAGTGCTGATAAATAAAAGCCAGACGCAGGCAGGGCCGCACGCAGAAGCACTGGGGTCTATCTGTTCATCTGCTCTGCTCTGGGGCTGTTCCATGGGAGGAAGGACACGTCGTACCTGAAAGGGCTGCAACCAGCCAGGGCCGGTTCAGGAGAAATCAAAACAAAACAAAGGCCAAGGAATTGCTTCAGCCTGATGGGAATGAGGGAAAGAAACTGGATTTCCCTGCTCCTTGCAACAGGTAACTCGCTGAGCAAACACAGCCACCTGCACAGGCGCGCCGGACCAAAGCCCTCGCGTTCCCCTTCCCTAGTCCCCCGTGCAGCAGAGCAGCATCTCCAGCTCTCAGAAGCTGAGATTACAAAGCTCAAAGCCTCTTTTGTCTGTGCTCAACAGCTGGGTGGGTGTGAGGAGGGTCTGCACCTCCCCTGATGCTTGCAGAACAAGACGCTGCAGCGGAGCTGGCAGCTGCCTGGCAAGCACAGCGAGCAGCTTCACTTAAGGCAAGGGGAGCAGGAGGGAAACGGGGCCAAGAGCTCAACCTGGCGCTTCCAGGGGCCCCAGATCTTGTTTTGCTCGGACACAGAACACGGTGTTAACACCCCTGGACAGCCACAACAGAGCCCGGGTGCAGGAAATGAGCTGGACTTTGGTGTACACTGAGTGCAGCGGCTCCTCAGCCAGCTCCAATCAGCAGAGCGCTGGGAAGAGCAAACAAAGACTTGGCCCCAGCCTTCTGAACCAGAGCAATTAGCACCGAGGGAGCTGCATTGCAAAAGCACAACTTAAATAGGACAAAGGCTCTTTGGATTTGCTTCCCCTGACTTACATTCAACTCGATTATCCACAACAGAGAAACAAAGAGCAGGTCGAAGGTGACGAAGAGGCAGAAGGTCCTCCTCACATCCGAGATGGCTTTCCTCTTCTCCAGAGAGAAGTAGCAGTATGGGGAGAAGCCCTGGCTCTGGGAAAACGAGGTGCTGATGGAGGCAATGGCCGGGAGGCTTCGTTCCAGGTTGTGCTGCAGCTCTGCGGGCTTGCTCATCCTCGGCCCAAGCCACTTGGGTCCTACATCAGTCAGGGCAGCATCGGCCAAGTCAGTGCATCACCTGTGGGGAGACACGCAAGGCACCCTCAGCTCTCTGCATATTCCTCCTCTCCCCCTCTAAGGGCAAATATTCCACTCTCCAAATCAGGTCCTGCCTGGTTTATACAGGGAAAAGGCTAACGCTGGCTGCTGGGCTGCCAAAGAGCCTCCCATTCTGAAGCAAAGACATCCAGGGCTGCCCCATCTCACCCTGGCACCCCTCATTGGTGCAGAGACCGTCCCCATCCCTCCTGCTCACTGCAGGGGAGGGGGAATTGGATGGGAAAGGCTCAGAGGCGCCAGGGGTCCATGGAGCCACCAGGAAGTGTCCCTGGGACCTGGAGCAGGCACCCAGCACACGCAGCAGCCAGAGCAGCAGATGGCAAAGCCTGTGGAGATGCTGCTGTGGCAGCAGGAAAAAGGCCTCGGGGTGTTTCTACAGCTCCAAGAAAGGAGCAGATTCCCAGGATCCCGAAAGCAAGGCGAGCTTCCCTTCCCTGTGCTGCTGCAGCCTCCTCTGCAGGGCCACAGAGCTCCCAGGGGCACAAGGCAAAGTGCAAAGCCTCAGGAGCTGGTTATCCATCAGCCAGAGCCCATCCTGCACAGCCAAGAGAGGGCCCGGCTCCCTTTGGGAGCAGGGTGCTGGGTTTCACACCCGGCTCAGCCAAGCAGAGCAGCAGGAAGGGGCCAGGGGCTGGTCCTGGCCCCGCTGCAGCCTCAAGGCTGTTTCCATGCCAAGGGTTTTGTATGGGAACCCTTCCTCTCGGTGAGCAGGGCACGAGGAGGCCACGGTGTTAATGGACCATGCAACAAGAGCCCACGCTGCAGACACCCAAGGAAAAGGGGGAAGCCAAACCAGGTTATTCCAAGGGTCTGCCAGTCCCTGGAGCCACCCATGGCAAAAGCACAGCAACGAGCACACAAACCCCAGCTCCTGCCCTGCAGCGGCTTCTGCCACAGCAGCTCTGCATCCTCCAGGATCCAAATGGGGTTTGTCAACTGCAGATCACACTGGGAACGAGGAGGAGGCTGCAGGCATGCCATGGCTAAGGGGGGGAAAAACCCACCCTGAGACTTGTGGGAAGGGGCAATCCATGGGGTAGGTGAAGCTGATGGAGCGTTGGACACCTGAGCAACAGCGAGAGCTCGGGTTTGGGGCAGGTTTGGGGCTGGAAGGGAACAAAGCTGTGCTCCTGTCAGGTCCCTGCGATGCTCTGTGTCGGAGGCCCTTCGGAAGGAGCTGCAGGACTTGTCACTTCTCATCAGCCACAGCACCCGCTGCTCCGAGCCAGGGGCCCCGGCTCCAAGTGGGGAAAGTTAGGAGACATCTGTGAGAGCTGAATAATGCATCAGCCCAGGCAGGGCTGCTCCTCCTGCACCGCCTCCGACACCGCTTTGCACTTAGGCAGCTCCCCCCCAACCCTCACAGCGCTTTCACATCACCCTGTGAGCCCCTCCAGCCCCACTGCTCCCCCCCTGCTCCAGCTCTGCAGTGCCAGGGATACAGTGGAGCACAAGGGAATGGCTTGAACCTGCCCCAGGGGAGACTGAGCTGAGCTCTTAGGCAGAAGCTCTTCCCTGTGAGGGTGCTGAGGCGCTGGCACAGGGTGCCCAGAGAAGCTGTGGCTGCCCCATCCCTGGCAGTGCTCAAGGCCAGGTTGGACACAGGGGCTTGGAGCAAGCTGCTCCAGTGGAAGGGGTCCCTGCCTGTGGCAGGGGCTGGAGCTGGAGGAGCTTTAAGGTCCCTTCATCCCAAACCATTCCATGATATGGCAGAACCCAGCTCAGCCAGCCCAAACCATTAAACACCAGTGATGTTTAACCAGCAATAACTCACTGACATTTAGCCAGCAACAAGGGCTTCACCTTCACCACCCTGTGGGGCAGAGCAGACCCATTTGAAGCCCAGATGAAGCCCCTCGAGTGGGGCTGCGTCTTCAGGCAGGAGGAAGCTGCGAGCAGCAGGAGCACAGGGATGGGAGTGTGCAGAAATGTGCCTTTTTCTGGGTGACAGATAAATTATTGAGCGCCCTGGTGCTGGATTATGCATTCAGCATCCTCCGCAGCCTGCGAGGGCCTTGGAGCAGCTCCCACAGCCGACACCAGCCCTGAGTGAGTGCCAGAGGCTGCCCGAGGGACACCAGGGTGTCAGGAGCACAGCACCCACAGCAGGGGCTTTGCTGGTGGAGGGAAATGGGCACTCTTGAGGGGAGATTTGGGTTCTTTTTGGTGGTGAGAAGGGGGAAGCAGAGTCCCTGCATCAAGGGAGAAGCAGGAGGGGAGAGGTGATGCCAGCATCAGCAGCGAACCCCAGTGGGAAGCACTGTGAGAGACAGCGAGACCCTGAGGCCGCACCAACCACCAGCACGGTCCCCATAGCACAGCCCCTGGTGCTGAGGCTCACCCTGTGCCCAGGGGAAAGGCCAGAGCAGCCCCTGCAAAGCCCCAGTGCCAACACCTCCTCCGTGCATCAGCCCTTTCACATTCAAATCACAAGGCTGCCATTAGCACCCGTTTGCATGTTAATGCCACCTCTTCCAGGGAGAAGCTTTTCCATCTTGTGACACGGCTTCTCCTTTCCTCCCGCGCCCCCACTTCCTATTAATGTGTCTTCTGAGCTCACATGACAGCTCCAACAGCTAATGCTCCTGTCACCTCGGCTGCCAGCCCGCAGCCCCTGCACCAGCGCTGCACACAGAGCCGGGTGAGACCCTGCAGAGGCACCGGTCACACACATTGAGCTTTACACAGGCTCTGGAAAAACAAAGGGTGAAGACTGGACACAAAACCTCACCCTAGAATAGCCCCAAGCCACAAAGAGCGTGGAACAGCACCAAGACAGGATCAAAAGCAAGGGGTCGACAGGGTTCCACACAGGGGTTGGTCTGGATTCCTTGAGAGAAGGCTCCTGAAGGGGGGACCTTAGAGCAGCTCCAGTGCCTAAAGGGGCTGCAGGAAACCTGGAGAGGGGCTTGGGACAAGGGATGTAGGGACAGGGCAAGGGGAATGGCTTGAACCTGCCCGAGGGGAGACTGAGCTGAGCTCTTAGGCAGAAGCTCTTCCCTGTGAGGGTGCTGAGCCCGCACTGCTCAGGCCCCATCCCTCACGGCTGGGAGCTCACAGGGTGCTTTTCCAGCTCTGGGATCATGCAGGAAGGGCAGGGAGCTGCAAGCTTCCCCCCCCAGCCTAAAGCACCTCCCAGCCCATGCCTGCACTGGGACACGAGGTGACAGCGATGCAGAGCCACAGGGGCTGCGGATCCAATGGGAACGGAGGCTCCATTGGCACAAGGTGCAGGCAGGGATGCCGGGATCCCACTGGCACTGCCCTGTGGGCAGCGCAGCCCCTGCATGGTGCCAGCAGCAACCGCTCACCGCAGCCCCAAGGAACAGGGGTCCCCTCTGTGCCCCACGGCCTGGGGCTGCCTCTGCTGCAGGCAGAGGTGCTGCAGCCCCTCAAAACACCCCCCCCCCCCCGTGCCCCTTGTTAGTGCTGGAGACCAGCACAGGGACCAGCCCCGTGCCAATGGCCACCAGTTCTGTGCCAGCGGCCACAGGACCCCTATAAACAGCCACCAGCCTTGTGTCAATGGCCACCAGCCCCGTGCCAATGGCCACCAGCCCTGTGTCAATGGCCACCAGCCCCTTGCCAGTGGCCACCAGCCCCATGTCAGTGGCCACCAGTTCTGTGCAAGCGGCCACAAGACCCCTATCAACAGCCACCAACCCCGTGTCAAGGGCCAACAGCCCCATATCAATGGCCACCAGATCCATGTCAATGGCCACCAGCCCGTGCCAATGGCCACCAGCCCCGTGTCAAGGGCCACCAGCCCCGTGCCAAGGGCCACCAGCCCCGTGCCAGTGGCCACCAGTTCTGTGCCAATGGCCACCAGCCCCGTGTCAAGGGCCACCAGCCCTGTGCCAATGGCCACCAGCCCCGTGTCAGTGGGGACAAGGCTCAGGTGCTCTGCCCACACCCGGAGCAGCGCCGACGGGGCCGCGAGCACAGCACAACGCGGCAGCGGAGCACCGGCATGGCCGTGACCCCCCCTCGCTGTCCCCGCTCGGAGCTGCCGCTGCAACACCCCCCCCCCCCTCCCGGGAACGGCCGCGCTCCAGCACCAACGGACGGCTCCAAGGCCCCAACACCCGGTCCCGGCGCCCCCCGGTACTCGCCGATGCAGGCCCCATTCCCGGTGCAGGCCCCATCCCCGGTGTAGGCCCCATTCCCGGTACCTGCCGCCGCCCGGTGCCGGCCCCGCCGGAAGCTGACCCCGGAATACGCAACTTCCGGCGCCGCCGCTGCGACCTCTGACCCCAGAAGGGAAGCGCCAGAGCGAGGCTGCGCCGGCGCAAACCATGGCCGGCCCGGGGGGGGGCTGAGTGCAGGCGGACCCAAATGGGCCGAGGGAGAAACCATTGCATACACGTGGGGGGGGGGCAATGGGGCTGGGAGGGACCATTCCCTTCCAAGGGGGGGGGATCAGTGGGGCTGGGAGGGACCATTCCCTTCCAAGGGGGGGGAATAAGTGGGGCTGGGAGAGACCATTCTCTTCCAAGGGGGGGGGGGAATCAGTGGGGCTGGGAGAGACCATTCCCTTCCAAGGGGGGGATCAGTGGGGCTGGAAGGGACCATTCCCTTCCGAGAGGGGGGGGAATCAGTGGGGCTGGGAGGGACCATTCCCTTCCAGAGGGGGTCAATGGGATGGGAGGGACCATTTCTCACAGGATGGGGGGGGGAAATCAGTGGGGCTGGAAGGAACCATTCCCCACCCGAGGCGGGGGATCGGTGGGGCTGGGAGGGACCACTCCTGTGAGAGAGGGAGGGTGTCCATGGGGCACCTGTGTCTGCCCCACAGCCCTGCCCCACAGCTCCCTGCTCTCACCCCACAGATGCCCGGACCACCCAAAACCTGGGGGTCAGACACCCCTCCCCATGGCCGCAGCCCCCCCCCCCCCCAGACCAGGCTCCATCCTCTCTGTACAGCCGTTTATTGCGGGCAGGGGGCTCAGCTCGATGTGGGGCAGGGGTGGGTCCCCACCAGCCCCCCCGGGGGGGTCCCGGCCCCTCGCGTGGGACCCCCCATTGCAAAGCGTGGTGGCCGTGGCCATGTGTGGGGCAGCACACGAAGCGCAGGCAGGGCAGCAGTGGGGCGATGGGGGGCAATGGGGCGAGGGGGGGCACCGGCGAAGCTGCTGCAGCCGGGGGGGTGCCGGGTCCCGGTGCCGGTTAACTGGTACCCAGGGGGTAGGTGGGCGAATGGCGCTCGGTGCCGATGGGGCGAGATGGAACCTCGGCGAAGCCGACGTGTCGCCGCTCTGGGGATGGAGGGAGGGATAATGGATGGATGGATGGATGGAGGGACGGATGGAGGGATGGATAGATAGAGGGATGGATGGAGGGATGGATGGATGGATGATGGAGGGATGGATGGAGGGAGGGAGGGAGGGAGAGATGGAGGGATGGATGGATGGATGGATGGATGGATGGAGGGAGGGACAGATGGAGGGATGGATAGAGGGATGGACAGAGGGATGGATGGGATGGCATGGATGGAGGTTGGGATGGACAGAGGGATGGACAGAGGGAGGTAGGGATGGAGGGATGGATGGAGAGAGAGAGAGAGAGGGAGGGAGGCATCGATGGATGGATGGATGGAGGATGGATGAAGGGATGGAAGGAGGGATGAACAGGCAGAGGGTCAGGCACCACCAGCACCAGATGGAGACACCAGGGCCAGGAGGGGCTGACACCCCACATACCCCCGGTGCCGCCGTCCTCCTCTTCCTCCTCCTCCAGTCCCTCGGGATCCTCCGGGATCTCGGACACCGTCAGCGACTTCAGGTCCTGGCCGCGCTCATCGATGCCGCCGGCGAACGACACCTTCTGCCCGCCTGCGGGACCCGGCTCCGGGGTGAGCGGGCTGCAGGGGCCTCCCCCCGGCCCCATCCCGGCCCCACCCCGGCCCCACCCCGGCCCCATCCCGTTACCTTTCCGCTTGTGAGCCCTGGGGCCGCTGAAGTAGCTCCGCTCCGCTCGGGCCTGGCTCCCGGGCGCTGCTCGGGCGGGTGCGGATGAGCCGAGGGCAGGGGGAAGCGCGAACGGCACCGCCGCAGCCCCGCGGGGCACGGCCACGCCGCGGCACCCCCCCCATCCCCAACCGCGCACCCACCCGAGCCCCAAGGGCTACAGGGGATGGTGGCACCCGGCTCTGCAGCGCTGGGATCCGGCTGCCCCGGCCCCATGTCCCCAGCATCCAACATCCCTGTCCCAGTGTCCCCCAGTATCCAACATCCCTGTCCCAGTGTCCCCCAGTATCCAACATCCCTGTCCCAGTGTCCCCCAGTATCCAACATCCCTGTCCCAGTGTCCCCCAGTATCCAACATCCCTGTCCCAGTGTCCCCCAGTATCCAACATCCCTGTCCCAGTGTCCCCCAGCATCCAACATCCCCGTCCCCATATCCCCCAGCATCCAACATCCCTGTCCCAGTGTCCCCCAGTATCCAACATCCCTGTCCCAGTGTCCCCCAGTATCCAACATCCCTGTCCCATTGTCCCCCAGCATCCAACATCCCTGTCCCAGTGTCCCCCAGTATCCAACATCCCTGTCCCAGTGTCCCCCAGTATCCAACATCCCTGTCCCAGTGTCCCCCAGTATCCAACATCCCTGTCCCATTGTCCCCCAGTATCCAACATCCCCGTCCCAGTGTCCCCCAGCATCCAACATCCCCGTCCCCATATCCCCAGATATCCACCATCCCAGTCCCAGTGTCCCCCAGTATCCAACATCCCCATCCCCATGTCCCCCAGGATCCAAAATCCTCATTCCCATGTCCCCCAGTATCCAACATCCCCGTCCCCCTGTCCCCCAGTATCCAACATCCCCATCCCCATGTCTCCCAGTACCCAACATCCCCATCCCCATGTCTCCCAGTATCCAACATCCCCATCCCCATGTCCCCCAGTATCCAACATCCCCATCCCCATGTCTCCCAGTATCCAATATCCTCATTCCCATGTCCCCCAGTATCCAACATCCCCATCCCCATGTCCCCCAGTATCCAACATCCCCATCCCCATGTCTCCCAGTATCCAACATCCCCATCCCCATGTCTCCCAGTATCCAACATCCCCATCCCCATGTCTCCCAGTACCCAATATCCTCATTCCCATGTCCCCCAGTATCCAACATCCCCGTCCCCATGTTCCCCAGTATCCAACATCCCCATTCCCATGTCCCCCAGCACCCAACATCCCCATCCCCATGTCTCCCAGTATCCAACATCCCCATCCCCATGTCTCCCAGTATCCAACATCCCCATCCCCATGTCTCCCAGTATCCAACATCCCCATCCCCATGTCCCCCAGCATCTGACATCCCCATCCCCACATCCCAAGGCTTCAGCCCCCCTGTCCCCATGTCCCCCAGCTCCCCACATCCCCATCCCGCTCACCGGGCTCCAGGGCACTGTCGGGATCGCAGGCACGGGCCAGCTCATGCTCCCCATCATCGGCCTCCCCATCGGAGCTGTCCCCCCCGGCCAGGCCACCCTCCAGGTGGGACTGGACGATGCGCTGCACCGCTGGGGAGGCACCAGTGTTGGCACTGGGAGCACTGGTGCCTCCCCATGGAGCCCCGGGTGCCCCCAGCGCACCCCGCACAGCCCCGTGCCTCAGTTTCCCCATTCAGATGGCTCATGCACTACCTTTGAGCGAGGGCGGGGTGTAGGCACACGGGTTGGTCCTCTTTGGTTTCAGCAGGCAGCTCTCACGCTGTGGGAGGGAATGGCATCAGGAATGGGGTCCCCCTGTGTCCCCATCCCATGGCAGGGGTCACCGTGGACCCAGGGGAGCCAGGCACCCCATGGGGAAGTGGGTGTTGTAATGGGGGTCGCACCATGGAGGCCCCAGGATAGAGATGCTGTGATGGGGATCCTGCAATGGGGACCCCAGGATGGAGATGCTGAGATGGGGATCCTGCAATGGGGACCCCAGGATGGAGATGCTGAGATGGGGATCCTGCAATGGGGACCCCAGGATGGAGATGCTGAGATGGGGATCCTGCAGTGGGGACCCCGGGATGGAGATGTTGCGATGGGGATCCTGCAATGGGGACCCAGGGATAGAGATGCTGGATGGGGATCCTGCAATGGGGACCCTGGGATGGAGATGCTGGATGGGGGTCCTGCAATGGGGACCCAAGACTGACACCCCTTCCCCAGCGATAAGGACCCTGCAATGGGGATCCAGTGTTAATGAGGACCCTGCAATGGGGATCCAGTGTTAATGAGGACCCTGCAATGGGGATCCAGTGTCAATGAGGACCCTGCAATGGGGATCCAGTGTCAATGAGGACCCTGCAATGGGATCTGCACTAGGGGCCCCATGATGGAGACCCCACCACTCTGTGGTGTCCCTGTGATGGTCACGGGGCTGTTTGACCGCAGCCAAACCCCAGAGCCTGCCTGGGCTCCGTGTCCCCGTCCCCGCAGTGCCAGCGCCGGGTGCCGGTGCCGGGCAGGGATCCGATAAGCACGGAGCCAGACTGGGCCCTGATAACCCCCCGGTGCCCTGGGATGGGGAGCGGGGCTGCCCCAAGGGGCCGGTGCCACTCACCTGGTAGGGCAGGGACTCGTCCTCTGGGTCGGTGGCGTCAATGGGGAGAGAAGAGTGAATGGGACAGGGGCTGATGGCATCCGGCCATCAGGCAGGTCCCTGCCACCCCCAGATCCCTGCTCCAAGGGTTACCTGCCCACCAGGGACCTGCCACTGCATCCCATCCCTGCCACCCCATTCCTTATGTGACACCGCATCCCATCCCTGCCACCCCATTCCTTATGTGACACCCCATCCCATCCCTGCCACCCCATTCCTTATGTGACACTGCATCCCATCCCTGCCACTGCATCCCATCCCTGCCACCCCATTCCTTATGTGACACCGCATCCCATCCCTGCCACCCCATTCCTTATGTGACACCGCATCCCATCCCTGCCACCCCATTCCTTATGTGACACCCCATCCCATCCCTGCCACCCCATTCCTTATGTGACACTGCATCCCATCCCTGCCACTGCATCCCATCCCTGCCACCCCATTCCTTATGTGACACCGCATCCCATCCCTGCCACCCCATTCCTTATGTGACACCGCATCCCATCCCTGCCACCCCATTCCTTATGTGACACCCCATCCCATCCCTGCCACCCCATTCCTTATGTGACACTGCATCCCATCCCTGCCACTGCATCCCATCCCTGCCACCCCATTCCTTATGTGACACCGCATCCCATCCCTGCCACCCCATTCCTTATGTGACACCGCATCCCATCCCTGCCACCCCATTCCTTATGTGACACCCCATCCCACCCCTGCCACCCCATTCCTTATGTGACACCGCATCCCATCCCTGCCACCCCATTCCTTATGTGACACCCCATCCCATCCCTGCCACCTCATTCCTTATGTGACACCGCATCCCATCCCTGCCACCCCATTCCTTATGTGACACCACATCCTGTCCCTGCCACTGCATCCCACCCCTGCCACCCCATTCCTTATGTGACACCGCATCCTGTCCCTGCCACTGCATCCCATCCCTGCCACCCCATTCCTTATGTGACACTGCATCCCGTTCCTGCCACCATGTCCCATCCCTGCCACCCCATTCCTTATGTGACACCACACCCCCTCCCTGCCACCATGTCCCATCCCTGATGTCCCAAGCATCCCATCCCACCACCGCGTTCCCTCCCCGCTACCATGTCCCATCCCGGATATCTCATACCGTGCATGACACCACACCCCATCCTTATCACCCCATCCCATCCCTGCCACCGCATCCTATCAGCGACACCAGATGGCCCCTGACACCACGTCCATCCCTGTCCCGTGTCCCATTCCCGGCCGCTGCGCTGCTCACCTGGGGACGAGTGCTCGGAGAGCTGGAAGAGCATGGCCGGTGTGGGCCTCCGCCGCCGGATCTGGGGCACAGCGGGGTGTCACCGCCTGGGGACACGGAGCCTCCCCGTCCCCTGCACCCCGGGGCCAAGGGCCCATGCACACGCCTGCACGTGTGTCATGCGTGTCTATGTATGTGCATGCGTGTGAGCGCGGTGCGGGCAGGGACCGTGCGGGGCCGTGGCCCCATCCCGGCGTCCCCACGATGTCCCCTCGATGTCCCCTCGATGTCCCCTCCAGCCCCTGCCCGGTCCCTCCGTGAGGGACCTCTGGTTCCTGCGTGTGCCTGGGACGTCCCCGTGGGCTGGGTACAACAGTGGCTGCGCAGTCCCCCAGCGTGTCCTGTCCCGTCGGTCCCATTCCTCTCCTTGCCCCTGTCCAGTACCTTCGGTCCCATCCCTGTTTCTGTCCTGTCCCTTTGGTCCCATTCCTCTCCTTGCCCCTGTCCAGTCCCTTCGGTCCCATCCCTGTTTCTGTCCTGTCCCTTTGGTCCCATCCCTCTCCTTGCCCCTGTCCAGTACCTTCGGTCCCATCCCTGTTTCTGTCCTGTCCCTTTGGTCCCATCCCTCTCCCTGTCCTGTCCCCTCCGTCCCATCCCTTCCCTCTCCCCCATCCTTGTCCCTATTCTGTCCCCTCTGTCCCATCCCTGTCCCCCTGCACATCTCTCCCTCTGTGGTTCCGCAGCTCACACAGGTACCTCGGAGCTCTCCCGTCCCGTCCCCGTCTCTCCCTTGTCCCATCCTGTCCCCCCCATCCAGTCCTGTCCCCTCTGTCCCTCCCGTTCCATGTCCTGTCCCCTCTATCCCCTCCGATCCCACTTACCCTGCTCTCCCAATCCCATTCCGTCCTTTCTGTCCCCTCTAATCCCCCTTGTCCTGCTCTCCCGGTCCCTTCCCTCCCTCCTGTCCCCTCTATCCCCTCCATCCCTGCCCTGTCCCGTCCGATCCCCCTCGTCCTCCTTTCCCTGTCCCTTCCCTCCCTCCTGTCCCCTCCGATCCCCCAGTCCCATCCCTCCTGTCCCACTCTGCCCTCATCCTCTTTCAAGACCCGGTACCTTGGGACTCCCCCTTTCCCCCCCCCATCCGTCCCGGTCACAGCGGGGGTCCCTCGTCACCGGGGCGACCCCGGGGGTGCCCCCATAGCCCGCTGTGTGCCCTCACCATCTCCACGGCGCGGGGGTCCAGCTGGCTGGGGGGGGCCGGCACCGAGAACTGGATCTTCTTGCGGTCCTTGGGGTCCATGGTGACCGCCGCTGCCGCTGAGGGGGGGCTCAGGCACCGGTAGCGAGCAGGGAGTTCGGTAACACCCGGGGCTCCGGTACGGCGAGGACTGAGAGTGGAGGGAGGTGGGGAAAGCAGAGCCGGTGAGGAGGAGGAGGAGGAGGAGGAGGAAGGAGAGGGAGGGAGGACACATCTACCAAGCACTGAATTATTCATCCCCCCCCCCTCCTCCCGGGGCAGGGGGGCTGAGGCCGAGGTAATGAGCCCTTGGGGAGCCCCTCAGGGGGTGCAGACAAGCTGTGGGGGGACCTTAACCCCTTCCCTGCCAAGGGGGTGTCTCCCGCTGGGAATGGGATGGGAATAGGTGCTTCCATGTGAGTCCCCGTTCCTTGTGCTTCACTTTCCCCACCAAGCTGCAATCAGGGAGCAGGGGCACGGCCGCTTGGATGGGCAGCAGGAAAATCCCCCCTTAGCCTGCTCTGTTCCACAGGGGCCAGGGACACGGCTCAGGCAGGGATGGGATCTCCCAGGGGATACAACCAGGGGACATCCATGGGGACACCCCGAACGTGCCATTGCACCTCCAACCAGCCCCACACACACGGGGTGTGCCAGGGCCAGAGGACTCTGCCCTCACCCGCGCCGTACCCGGCTCGGCGCCGTTTTCCTGGTGGAAAATTCCACCAAACCCAAAGTTTCCCCTTGGGAAGGGGAGGTCCCGGCCCCCCCCACCTCCTTCTCCCCCTCCCACCGGGGCACAGCCTCCAGCCCGGCCTCCGCTCAGCACCGGGGTCCGGTGCGGTGCTACCGGAGGGCGCGGTGGCTCCTGCCCCATCACGGGGTGTCCTGGCCGGGGGACAAGGCCGGGGCGGTGGCGCTGAGGAAGCCGCTTCCAAGGAGGAACGAGGAAGAGGGAGCCGGGAGCTGGCTCCGGCCCCCGGATCTCCCGGTGCTCCAAGGGCTGCGGGTGGCCGCGGGCCAGCAACCGCTGCTCCAGCAAAGTATTTACCCGAGCGGCACCGTGCCACGGAGCACAGTGTGGCAAAGCATGGCAAAGAGAGGCAAAGCTGGCCCTGCACATGGCATTGGCAACCTTAGGACAGAGTGGGGACGATAGTGGGGTCCCTCGGGGATGACCCCATGCGAAGCTCCGGAGCATCATCCCCATCCTCATCCTCATCCCTCCATCCCATCGCGGGACCCGGGGTCGTTATGGCAACAGGTTCCCAAGCTCCCATCCCGCTGCCGTTCCCGCTCCTGCCGCCTACGAAGACACGGAGCGAGGGGGTGGCCGGGCCCCCTCCCCTCCGCTCCCCTCCCTGCGCTGCGGCAGCGGCAGCACCCGCAGCCCCCCGGGATCGGCGCACGCCGCCCGCGCCCGCACCCACACAACCGCGCACCCGCCGGGGCACGTGGGGGGGGGGGGGAACCGGCACCGGGCCCGGTACCGGAGCCTTGCACCGCACACGGTCACTCCTTACCCAGCGGCTCAGCCCCGTCCATCCCATGGGTACCGGGGTAGGGGCACACAGGGAGGTGGTGGGGGGGGTGTTTGCGCCGTGCCCGTGCCCATCCCCGTGCGTCGTGGCGGGGGCTGCGGCAGCGCATCCTCCTGCAGAGACAGTAAAAATAGCAGCAGCAGGTTCAGGACGTGGAGTTCGCTCCTCACCGGTGACAGGAGCCGGAGCCTGCACCCATCGAGGGCAGCAACGGCAGCACCGGGGTTGTAGGGCCGCGGTGTCAGAAGGGCGGCCGTGGGGCTGCGGCGGTGTGGGGTGGGGATGGGGTGGCATGGGGATGGAGTGACAGAGGGATGGGGTGGCATGGGGGACGAGGTGACAGGGATGAGGTGCTGTGGGGATGGGTGGCATAAGGATGAGGTGACATAGGGATGGGGTGGCAGAGGGGATGGGGTGGCATGGGGATGGGGTAACAGGGATGAGGTGCTGTAGGGATGGGATGGCATAAGGATGAGGTGACATAGGGGTCGGGTGGCAGAGGGTATGGGGTGGCATGGGGATGGGGTGACAGGGATGAGGTGCTGTGGGGATGGATGGCATAAGGATGAGGTGATACAGGGATGGGGTGGCATGGGGATGGGGTGACAGTGATGGCGTGGCACAGCAGTGGACCATGGTGGGGACAGGGTGTACAGGGGATGGAGCCTCATGGTGATGGGGCACCCCAGGGATGGGGCAGTGGGGCAAACACCCTGGGGATGGGGACAGGGCACTGGAGGGGAGGGACACGGGGGGGACACGGGGCACTGCGGGGCCGGAGCATCGTGGGGACAAGAAGACCCAGGGACATCGATCGTTGGGTCTGAAAGGTGAGTGTTGGGGGGGGCGGAGCCTGTGCACCGGAGAGGGCGGGGCTAAGGGGAAGGGCGGAGCTTAGGAGGGGGGGTCAGTGGGTGCCGGCCCCCCCTCCAGTGCCCATCACTCCGGGTGTCCCCCCCGAGCCCCCATCGCACCGCAGGACCCCTGTGGGTGCAGCCCCCCCCCGGCTGCAGAGGAGGTGCCCGCAATGGGAACACGCGTGGGAACACACTGGAGCCGGGGGGGGGGGCGGCAGGGATCTTAACCCCTTCCTTGCTGGTACCACCCCCCCTCTGCCACAAGCATGGGGGGGTCCAGAGGGCATCGGGGCGGCCCCCACCAAATGGGGCTTCATTGGGGTGGCTGGGGACATACCCACCCCTATGGTGGCACTGGGGGGGGGGGGTGGCATCCCCTTTATGCTGTAGGGCTGGGGGCTGCACCCCACCGCGATGGGGACGCTGATGCAAGGAGAGGATGTGTCCCTGCGGCGCTGGCACCATGAGGATGGGTCCCATTAGGGTGGGCAGGGGGGTGAATGCTCGTGTCCGTCCCCCCCCCGCTCTGGGCCTGGTCCCGGTGCCACCAGCAGATGCCATTGCCGGTGCTGGCAGGGTCACCACGGTGCTGGCACAGCCCCACGGCCTGGGCACCGACTCAAGGGCTTTGGCACGGGGTGACCATGGCTGGAGCCATCCCGCTTGGCAGCCACAGGCCCATGCCAAGCCTCGCACCCCGGGGGTGCTGCCATGGAGGGCACCGGGGGGGGTCATGGGACATCACTTTGGGATGCGCACCCCATCTGATAGGACCATGGTTTGGGGGAGTCTGAGCCCCGGTTTGCCCAACGTGGGAGGTCTGAATAGGTCAAACCATGGGGGGGGGGCCACAAGCCTGAGACCCCAAGGAAGGAGAGGACAGGGCCACCCGGGGGGCTCCCCTTGCTGGGGGCCGTGCCTCACTTTACCCCCCTGTCACTCCCCAGCTCTATCCCCATCCACCCCTTCCCTAAGGATCTATGGCATCAGGGGACCACAGCGCCCACCCCAGTGCCCCCACACCAGGGTGGGCTCTATGGGGGGGGGGTCCCATCCCTGTTCCCCCCCATCCCCATCAGTGCCCTCCTCCCGGGGGGGGGGGCACAGAGCAGTTCCGCGGCCTCCGTTCCCAGAAGAAAGACTAAAGTTAAAACATCTGTTAATTTATAAACCAATTTAACCATGACTGGTTAATAAATAGGAACCAGCTGCCACCCCCCCCCCCCCATCACCGCCTTGGCCAGGGGACAGCAGCCTGCCCGGCCCCCCCCATCTCCATCCCCATCCCCATCGCCCCCCCCCCCAGGGTCAGTGTCACTTGTCCCACTCGGGTGTCATCGGGGTACCCCCCCCCCCCAAGGGATGCTGGGGAGAGCACATGGGGAGGGCATGGCTGGGATGGGGACGTGGTGGGGGTTCTGGGGGGGGGGGGGGGTGTGCGCCAGGGGTGTGCAGGTGTGTGTGCATGTGCATGTATGTGCTAAGTGTGTGCATCCATGTGTGTGCATCCATGTGTGTGTGCATGTGCATGTATGTGCATGTGTGTGCATCCATGTGTGTGTGCATCCATGTGTGTGTGCATGTGCATGTATGTGCATGTGTGTGCATCCATGTGTGTGTGCAGCCATGTGTGTGTGCGTGTGCATGTATGTGCATGTGTGTGCATCTGTGTGTGCATCCATGTGTGTGTGCATCCATGTGTGTGTGCATGTGCATGTATGTGCTAGGTATGTGCATGTGTGTGCATCTATGTGTGTGTGCATCCATGTGTGTGCATGTGCATGCATGTGCTAGGTATGTGCATGTGTGTGCATTCATGTGTGTGTGCACGTACATGTATGTGCTAGGTATGTGCATGTGTGTGCATCCATGTGTATGCACAGGAGTGTGTGTGTGTGCTTGCATGGATGTGCTGGGGAGGTGCATGTGTGTGCATATGTGTGTGCATGTACATGTATGTGCTAAATACGTGCATGTGTGTGCATCCATGTGTGTATGCAGCCATGTGTGTGTGCTTGCATGGATGTGCCAGGGATGTTCATTGTGTGCATCCCTGTGCACATGCATGTGTATGTGTGCACAGGAGGGGGCATGTATGTGCATGTGTGTGTGTGTGTGTGCAAGGAGCATGCAGGATGCGTGTGCATGCATGTGCACAACCCCTGTGCATGTCCATCAGTGGGTCTGGGTACCAAGCCTGGACCTGGGGAGCTGCTGTCCCCATGGGGCTTGGGGACAAGGGATGAGGACTCCCATGGAGCATCCCCATGGATCGGGCATGGATGCGGATGGAGACAGGCCCAGTCCAGGCACTGTGCCCAGCGACGACCGCAGCGATGGGGCTGGGTTGTGGGGTCCCCACTCCTGCCCCCCAACACCCCCCCCCCACCATCCCCCCTATCCCTGCTCCCCCTCGGCCGCGCGCCCCGACACGTGTCGCAATAGTAATGTAATTTGTACGTTAACAATGGGCAGCTTGAGGTTTATATTTAATTACACCGTTTGCACCAACCTGAACTCACCCTTATTCATCAATAATGCATGGGCTTGTGTTTAGCGCTGCTTAATTAATCTGTGCTTACGACAATTAAAGGCTTGCAAAATCCCCAAAGGTGGCAGCGGGGAGCGGCTGCGCCGTGCGCTGTGCTCGTGGTGGTGGTGATGCTGTGCTTGTGGTGATGGCGATGGCAATGGCGTACTCGTAGTGATGGCAATGGTGTGATTGTGGTGATGGCAATGGTGTGATCGTGGTGATGGCGATGGCAATGGCGTGCTCGTAGTGATGGCAATGGTGTGATTGTGGTGATGGCAATGGTGTGATTGTGGTGATGGGGATGCTGTGATCGTGGTGATGGCAATGTTGTGCTTGTGGTGGTGGTGGTGATGCTGTGGTGGTGGTGATGCTGTGGTCGTGGTGATGGCGATGTTGTGTTTGTGGTGATGGCAATACTGTGGTCGTGGTGACGGTGATGCTGTGC